GGTAGTTGAGATGACAAAAGTACAAAAAGCACATGCCCCTCTCTCTCTCTCTCTCTTTCTCTCTCAGGAAACGGACGCCTCACTGCTGACAGTGACTGGCTACCCTGCATTTGCCATCGACAATCCCGACCTCCAGCGGGCAACGGAAGTCAAAGTTAAAGAGACGCTGGCAGGAGAGAAGGGCTACAAGAGGTTCCTCAGAGACAGCTACCTCACAGTCCGCGAGGGTTCGCGGGACTCTACCGGCGACACCTCGGTCAGCGGGAGGGAGAGAGAGAACACAGTAAAAGAGACGAGAGGAGTGTGGAAAAACTAGTAGATAGAGTATGGCATAATAGTGAGAGAGAGAGAGAGAGAGAGAGGGGAGAGAGAAATCGGCAATGTCATATTATACTGATAGATTCACATCTATAGGTTTGTAAATGGTCTCATCTGACACAGGTATATGATGGACTGGAATGCGAGTATCCCCTGTTTTTTCTCTACGAGTACATATCAGGTATATACATCTTACTGTACATGCTGCCAGATTTGTTGTCTTTAACCATGTACGTGTGGTAGATGAAATGTTGATCTTTCTTGTTTTAGAAATGTGTCGCGGAAATACAAGTAAAGCAGAGGAAGTGTGGAAAAAACTCGTGGACACCCTCACAGGGTTTGAAGGTGTGCATCACATGATCCACTCATTACATCACACACTTGGTCACATGAGCTCTCCCTCCAGATCACATGATAGTCCCACAGCTGTACTATGTCCCCGAGTCTGAGCTGTCCGACGAGGCGGGGACCAGTGCGGGCAGCATTGCCACTGCCAGGGACATGACGTATAGAATGGAGGTCAGGCGAGACCCCATTCCATTCCTATGGGCCCAATCTCTGTTCTATACCGCCAAACTTCTTCGTGAGTTACGTCACCACTCGGACACGAGAGGATGATGGGTGGGGTCACGATGTTGATGATATTGTGTGTTGTGTGTGTGTGTGTTAGGTGACGGTCTGATATCGGTACCGGACCTGGACCCTCTCGGTCTGCGGCTGCAGCCACACACACGCAGGATAGGCGTGGCCAGACACCTCGGCTTCACGGCTCCCGGCCACGACACCGTCATCCAGGTGGCACTCATTTCTGAGACCGCCAGGTAGACCAAACCTCTGTCTCTTTCTTATGGTGCTCCTACATAATTATAGTACTCATTGGAAGGAGATACATAGCTTTTGTGAATAAGTGAGGAACAATGAGAGCCATCATTCTCAGTAATATTTGTGGGGTAGGAATCTCTTATTGGAAACATTCTTTCCTCCTATCTTTTCACCTCTTTTTCTAAACTCTGGTCTATCCAAAGTTTCTCAAACTCTGGCAATACTTTGTTACTCTGCTGACTTCTCCCCTCTGCCGTGCAGACTTCAGACCCTCCTGGCCACCCACGGAGTACCGACGCAGACACAGAAACAGGTGGAGCCAATCAAGATTCGTCCGCCGGGGGACATCCTCATGCGGGTGTACGCCAGACTCGGGGAGAACGGGAAACTGGGGCTCACCGGGCGACCAAAGAGACCACTCGGAGCTCTCGCCACTAGCAGAGTGAGACTTGTGTGTTTTGTTGGCAAATGATCTGTGTACACAGTTGTCTCAATGACACTCTGCCATGCTCTTTTTTTTGCAATGATTTTGCCAATTGCACAACCAGTCACAGTTTTCATCCCATTCCTCAAATTTGTTTTTACAGTTTGGGGAGTGCACAATTTTCTAAATTGCATCCATTCTTCTGAAGATATTATTACTTCACTCTCTGTTGCTTTTTATCCCTCCCAAATCCCAGGTGTACCGGATATACGGAATGACCTTTGTCTTCTATCCGACGGACTCAATGGCCGACTTCTACACGTCGTTTGACGTCATGACTCTCATCGATGTTCTAAAGACAACTCTCCAGTTTCTCAACCTCAACTGGAACATGGCTGGCAGACCCACACTTGTCTCTATCTCACTGAGTCCAGACTGAAGTAAGTTAAGCCTTCTCTCTTGCTAATACCCTGCGTCATTTCCCCCCTGTCTCTGAACTTTCGTCTTTCCCATATGTCACTCCTAACTTTCATCGTTCATATCTCACTCTGAACTTCATTTCCCCCTATCTTGCTCCAAACGTTTTCTCTTTTGCTCCAAACTTTCCATCACTCATAACTTTGGCCCTCATAACTCCCATAAATTCAGTGTGTGTATAATCAGCTTTCTCTCTCTCTCTCCGTCACCTCTTCAGAGGAAACAACTTTCGGAAGTTTGTGAATTTCCTGGCGCAGTTGAAACAGGGGGAGGTGGAGGGGTTAAAGGTCAGAGTAGATCGTCTCCAGTCCCTCATTCGGACGTCGTGCATCGAGAGACTGGAATGTGGACATTGGGACCAGCTGGACCGACACCTCCAGCAAGTCTCATGTGAGAGTCATGTGATCAGTGAGCTGGTCATGTGATTAGCAAGCTAGTCAATGTGAAAAAGCATGATCACATCCTAAAAGGCCTAAGATCAGGGAACTTTGTATAATGCAACTTAGTTATTTGCCCGTCTCTACCATTAATAAACAGATATTCCGTACGCTTGTAGCACATGTTAAATTTAACCCTGTCCTCACTGTCACTGTAGGTCGAGGTCAGTGCTGCGGTCTCGAGGCAGTGGAGCTCGTCTCTCCTCCTCTGCATCCTCTGCCAGCGACACCAGTATCGGCTCCGTGTTCGAGGAGGGAGGGGCAGTGGGAGGGGCCGAGGAGAGAGATCCTGATGATCCGGACTTCTCAGATGGCGAGGAGGAGGAACCTTCATATCTCCCTGCTGTGAGTGACTACCCAAACTCACTGCAGCAGCTCATGTTTTGGCGAAATTTAGAAACTCGTTTTTAGAGGCAAAAGTAATGAGGTTCTTTGAACCTGGTTGTCACAGCGTGCTAAAACCAACAGTACTCTGCAAAATCATAAAATTCGTGAAAGTTGTTTTGTTGTTTGTGTGTGGAAACTATTGGTACACTCTGCTCTCTGCAGGAGATCCGGGACAAGAAGCATGAGAACCTGAGTAACCTTCTGTTGCAGGAGAGGAGCAGTCTCGGTCAGCTCTACCTCCTCAACGAGATGACGAGGACGAGGAGCAGCATCGACCTCAACAGTGGGGAGACGGCCGAGGAAAGAATCGAGGCCATCTACCTGGAGAGTGGCGTGCGGAAACGCTGGATGTCAGTGAGATACGCAGCTGCTCTGCTGAGGAAGGTGGTGGACTGTCTGGCCCCATCCCTCACCGGCATGCTCGTCAGGGGGAAAGAGGTAAACAGCGTATTTTGCTGGAATTTCGACGGAGAACACTGTGTTTTGTGGTTTGTATTAACAATGTTTTTTTATCCCTCAAACTTTGTTTAGTGGCAAAATTTGTCAATCCTATATACATAGCAGTTAGAAAAAGCATTCCCCTCAAAAATTTGTTGGTTGGCAAAAGTTTTACACCTCAACAGTTAGTCAGTAGACAGTGTGTTTGTCATGATGTAATGGTGATGTAATTGCATTGGGTAGGTGACTATTGGTGTATTTGGGTATGCGGAGCATGTGGTCACGGAGCCGATGAGTCCGAAAGACCTCGTTAAGATCATCTACGACATGTGCATGCCTGCCGACCCCATTGAGGCAGTGCTGCAACAAGAGGTGGGTGTGGCCAAGTCACATGACTCTGTCACGTGACTGTCATGTGATCTCCAGATCATCATCTACCTGGCCGATGTGTTTACCAGTCAGGCTACCTTGTTCCAGGGAATGTTGAGGCTCAGAATTGGGTGAGAGAGATAGAGAGAGGGAAAGGGTTTCTTCACTTTGCCATTTCTTCCGACAGGTGGATAATACAGGCTATGAAGAACGAACTAAAAGACCTCGCCACAGTGGAAAAACTGAATGTATGTATATATTATAGGGAGATACGTTAACCCTCTATAGTTAAGTAACACTCCTATAATGTGAGTATCCATTGGCATACACTGCATTATGTGAGTAGTGGTGTAGGAAAAACTAAACTAAACGGATTTGATGTGACTTAAAAATGATATTCCCTGGCTCGCTGCCTCAGTTGGTGACGGCAGAGAGACGGGTGGAGCAGCTGTCGCCACACCAGGTCAAACAACTGCTCATCTACGTTCTACAGGACATCGACTCTCGGTATGTGTGCTGTCCTACAATTCTCCTCCTCCTTTCTGTATAAGTCAAGCGTGAGCTGTTTTTTTACATAATGTAACAACGAGGTAGAAAGGCAAAGCAAACAATTCAACGACACCCGGGACATTTTTTTCGAGGAAAAAGAATAGTTGCCCTGTGTCTCACTAGCTGTTCCATCTCTGTCCTCTCTCTCTGGCTGCACAGATCAGCTCTGAGCACGAGGCAGTTGCACGGAGCCCTCAACAGAGTTCCTCCACTGTTCTATGAGAAAGGTGAGTCCAGAACAACCGTTGCTGTATTGGACACGTCCTTCCTTTCTCCACCTTTTATAGTGTACAACATCCTGAAGAGAGCATGTGGGGTAAATGTAAGAGGCAAGACACTATTACAGGTGGGACTCTATAGCGTTGTGTTGGAGAGCTAGAGAACCCCGGATGACGTATGTGTGTGTGCCAGGTCCCCACGGTACACGAGGTCTCTGGACAGGAGGTGCAGTTTGCTCTGAAAGTGGAGGAACTCTTGAGCTCTATCACCATCCCCGAGTACCGCCAGGTTATCGTGGAGGTCAGCAAATACTCTCCTCTCTATATATTCCTCTTCTCTCTGCGGTTGAAACTTTGGCTATCTTGGGTCCAAATATGAAACCTTTACTCAGTATTTTTTGTAACCTCTCCTCAGATGTTGATGGTGGTTTCGACAGTCTTGGAGAGGAACCCAGAGATCATCTGCAGCAGCGTTCTCAAACTGGATGAGGTAATGAGTATCCACCACACCAGTGGTGTTAGTGTGTGATGACGTGTGTGTGCTGGCGACTAAATACAGCTGTTGGAAGAGTCTGTGCATCTCTACACTGTGGACCAGGGGAAGAAAGGACAGGAGAATGGGGAGGGAAGCAAAGAGGCGGTCGAGGATCACGTAATAACACTCTTTCTAAAGGCCAGCCATTTATGTCTTTTTCTTCCCTCACAGTGTGCAGGATTCTATGCTCTATTGCCAGACGGGATGTCTGGAAGCATATCATACATGGCCAAGGCAGTTGTCAACACTTTACTGCAGCAAGGACTCAGCTACGACATCTCCAAACAGTGCTGCATTAGCTAGCATCATCCTCCCTAGCTCGACTCACATTTTCAGCACGTTATAATTGGACTGCGCATGCGTATAATTATTGCGTGCGTCTCTATGACAACAAGTGCGTGCGTGCATGCGGAAGCCATGGACCAGGACTTGATGGAGCCTGGCGAATCGGGCGCTTCCCAGACCCAGAGACTGCTCGAGTGCATCAGCGACGACAATAGCGATAAGGAGAAGCAATGCACTCCGTACGCTTCCGCCTCGTCTATGGCCACGCCCACAATCAAGACAGCGGAAACCACGCCTTCTTCGTCAACGCTTCCGCGACCGGAGGAAGTAGAGTACGCATGTGTGAAACACGAGGAGTCGACTCCGCTTCCAGCTCCTGTCCCTTGGACGTCACCGGCCGAGCGTGCGGCCGTGGCCATGTCTCGACGGAGGGCAATGACGAAGATGAAAGCCAGCGTGCCGTACGTTGTTCTTAGCGGTCTCCAGACAGCGGTCGGCGCCGTAGTGTGCTGTCCGTGGGAGGAGCTGCCTTCGCTACGACGCCCACGTTCAACGCCGGCTGCTTCTGGGCGGGGCTTGTGGTAAGATCAGACTCTATTCTCGTTCATAAAAACTACAGAGTAATATTTTTTTGCAGATTCTGACGTTGAGCATTTACAGCTTTGTCCTGCTGGGCCTCAAGCTGACTCTGCAGAAAAACAAGCACTTCAAGAAATACAGGCGTGTCATGGTGAGTTTCACACCATGATCGATCTATAGTGACTTATCTTCCACCTCACAGTACCACGTCCTAGTGGTAATGTGCGTCCTCTGCATCCTGACAACCATATCGGCTGCCATTGTCGACATGCTGGCTGCATACATGCTTCATCGCACCGACTTCACCCGCTGCCTTCATACCGGAGACACACATCTGGCCGTAGACTGTGACTCGACCAGCTGTCCTTACCTCCAGCTCCCTCCCAATACCTGCTATTGCTGCTACCTCTTTGACCACCGCAAGGCCAGGGGTTGCCACACCCCCTTCCTCCTCGACAAACAGACCTACTTCGAGGGAGTCGAGTCTTGCAGTGTCCTCTCTGACCGACTCAACCCAATGTTGACAACCGTCGCACTCCTGTGTGTCGTGAGCACTGCTCTGAGTATCGTATTTCTCTTCAAGAGTCGACCGGTTCGCTACTATGTCAAGAGCGAGAAGGGGAAAGAGGAGGAGGTGGAGGAGGGAGAGGAGGAGGAGGAGAGTGAGGGGGAGGAGGAGGGAAAGGAGCTGCTGAGGAGGGTTTCTCACAGAGGGAAAGTGAAGAGAGACAAGGGAGGAGAGAGGGACAGTGTCGTCTACACAGCTGCGAACACAGAGGAGACCGTCAACTGATCATTGAACTGACAATTCAAATACCGCACTGGTTTTATTCACTTCATTTTTAAACCCTCACCGCCGAGAAAGATTATCTATTGAACATATCACTCAGGAACCTTTATAGTACAAAATAGGACCTTACACATTAGCTTGACACAAAGTGTAGTGAACAAACAAAATTGACTTGATGTGTGAGTTGTGTTTGTACATAATGTTCATCACAAAGGTTCACTACTGGAGCTGTCACTAAGTCGGGCCCTCTCGTGTATGAGCTGGTGGCTGAAGCCCCAGAGACCGTCGGCTAGCTCTGGGTCCAGGGCGTCTGGCGAAGGCTCCACTGGCTGGCACTCGTACCAGTACAGTCCACTCACTCTCTCCAGGGATGGGTGGGCAGCGCAGTAGAGGACTGTGGCTGCTGCTTGCTCCTGGGGACAGAAGAGCAGGGAGGGGAGAGGAGAAAGTAGGAAGAGAATAGAGGCAGAGAGTAAAGTGACCGTGAGAGCAATTTCTGGAGATGTTGGGAAAAGTAATGTGCTGCCAACTCTAACAAATGCACTGACAATGGCCAAATATGCCATTACACAGCTGATCCTGGGGAGTTTGGCAAAACAACCTGTTTTGTCTTCTACATGATCATAATCAGCTGTAATCTTGGAGGGCAGTTTTCTTTCAAAGGCAATGTTATATTGGAGAGGCATAGTTCCCACCACTTATCCCAATTAAACCTTATTAGGGGGCCCCTACTTATCTCACAACAGGATTACCATCCACTCACGAGTGATTTGGTGAAAGGTCTAGCCAAGAGCACCGAGATCCTGTACAACATTCCCGCATTCCAGGTGAGATTGGTTGCTAGGAGGTTACCGGGGTGTACTGCGTGACAACAGACTCCATCGGATGAGAATCTTCGGTGGAACTCAAAGGTAAAGAGGAGGTTGCAGAGCTTCGAGGCTCCGTAGGCAGTGACTGCGGTGTATGTGTGCTTTGGGGGATGTGGAAGTGTGGAGATGTGGAGAGGAACTGTAGGATCAGCGGTCGTGTACCTGTGGTAATGATGACACAAAGGAGAGAGAGAAGATGGATAAAAGGTAGGGGGAGGGAGTTGTCAAAATTAGTAAACTGTGCAGCCAACACCATCTCGACACGCTGCCATGCCAGCCCATTGCCAAAGAGCCTCCGGAGTGTCGTTCCCACAAGATCACCAGGGATACCTAATTATCCACATTCCTCACCCTCTCTCCTGGCAAGGGAGCGACGAGCGACAAATTTACCCAAACACAACTCTTTATTGGATCATTTCGACTGCTGCCAAAAACACCGATACCTCCAGCCAGCAACCCAGTCTACAAACAAGCTCTTAATTAGAGGGGTCTCCCCTGCATTTTGTATCACAACAAGCCAATACAGTGAAACCCTTTCAGAGGGGTTCACTTCAACAGTAAAGTAAATTTTACATTCATAAATATTTTTTGCCTACATAAGTTGGAAATGTTTCAAGGACTCTGTACATACCTACCAGTGAGACTCGGAGGCCAGAACGACAACTCTGGAGGGGGCGGAGTCTCGGAGATTGTCGGCGAGGAGGTTGGCCAGGTGGAAGTGGGCGAGATGATTGACGGCAAAGTGCGTCTCGATCCCGTCAACTGTCCTGGCGAGTGGCATGCCGAACACGGCCGCATTCAGAACCAGAATGTGGAGAGGGAGGTGCCGTTTCTGGAACGAGACAGCAAACTCCCTAACACTGTGCAGAGAGGCCAGGTCGAGTTCCATCACTTCGGCCTTGGCATCCGGCTGAGCAGATGTAAAAATAATTATAGCAGTAAAATTTTAAATAAAACTCACATTTTTGTGGAATACTCACTACACAAAAAATTCGCACAGAAGCTACCAGCAAAAACTGCAATGCACAAGTGCAAATAGGGTGTGTGACTCACCACTAAGTTTTGAATCTTGGTGAGGGCTGTAGAGGCACGTGTCATGTGACGACAGGCAAGGATCACATGAGCCCCCTTCTCAGCAAGACGCAGTGCCGTAACAAATCCTTAAAAAATAGAGAGAAGCCCTGTGTCTATTTCATTTACCAAAGGGAGGAAGCCCCCTTGTAAATGAACCCCTATACGTACCGAGTCCTGAATTGGCTCCGGTGACAATGGCCACCCTGCGAGAGAGGTCCACGCCCTCCATGACAGAGGTCGCTCGAGAGAGGGGTCTGAACCGAGTGGCCATGGTGTTGGTCTTCTTGATGTGGTAGACTGAGGGCAGCTCAAATACATTGTCAGTCAGAAGACGAGGATCGACCAGACAAGAGAACTGGTTCAGGTGACTGTTAGTGAGAGGGACAACCAAGCAAGTGAAGTATGTGTAGAGAAATCTGTGACTCACTCAACGTAGTGTGCAGCACCCTCTTCGTCTTTGTATTTCTGCCAGCCGTATGGCAAACCTGGATACACGAAAAAGAGATGCATCTCCAGGCTTCTGCTGCAGACACAAACGCGCACCTCTGTCGACCCTATAACGTTTGTTATTGAGGGGGCTGTCCCAACACGTGGTCTTCGACTCGTGGCTGATGAGAGGAGAAATAGCTAACTCTCAACGGTGAAGGCGGGCTCGCCGTCCCTCACTTGAGAAAGAAGACTCTGCCGTCAGCTGCAACCCGTGCCTCCCAGTCCCTGGGCAGCCTCGTTATGTCGTCCTCCCCGCTGTCTCCCCACTGACGGTACACCACCCGTTCCTCTTCTTGCTGCATCTTGGGCAAGTGGGCGTGGCTCGACAGCAAAAAGGCGTGGTTTAATCACGTGACGTTTGCTGACGGCGGTAAATTGTTACGTAATTGTTATTGTGCCAGTTCAGCATCTGTGTGTAGGCTTGTGCGCTTTTTCTCTTTCTCGCACGTCGAAGACAGAATAAGGAGACGCTCCCAGCGACGACTAAAGCTTAAAGGAAGGCAGACAAACTTGGAGAGGGTCGTGTGGTAACTACACATCTCGCCCGAGTCGGTGGGAAGTTCAGGAGAAGAGAATAATCCTTACACCGGAAAGTTACTCCCCCGGGGGCTACTTTTGGCGGGCCTCCTTTGTTTCACGAACTTTTGTGACCTCACTAAGACCACAGTACCACACACTGTAACTTACATACACATAGAGTAGTACATTGGACTGGTGTATCATACAGTTGACGTTTAGTAATAGTCCCTGTTAGTCGTTTCATGGCTCCTTCCTCTCTGACCTGCAACAACGCTTCACCGCTCCCACTGGCCCTCGCTCCCCCTCATCACGTACCCAGAAACCCCTGTCACGTCAAGCTCACCGCCTTTCCTTGCTTCCATCGAGCCTTCCACAGTAACTGTTGCTGGAACATTAGTTGCTAAACGGAGCCTCTGAAACGTTTGGATTGCACTTATTCTACTGCGTCGAAGAGTGTGAAAGACACACATATCCAGAGATAGAAGGAAAAGAAAAAAAGAAAAGGAAGAAGATGAAGTTGTTTGAGAATGCTAAACTGGACCGGATCAGCACTGCTCTGTGTATGAACACGGCCGACTGCAAGATTAGGGGACGGTGAGTTCGAGAGAGGGGGGAGGAGGGGAGGGGAGAGGAGAGAGGGAAATAGAGAACTGTGGTGGAGAGTATCAGCATTGTATGGCAGAGTTTGCGTAAGTGGCTAAAGTGTGAGGTGATAAGGAATGTAGATCTTGTGTGTTGGTAACAAGGACCCACTCGAGAGCCCACACCTCCCTTTACCCTTTACTGCTCGACCTTGACCCTGTTATCAAATCCTAATTACTGGACCCTTCTCACTAAGTAACCCGAAGCTCTCTACTCTGAGGGCCTCAGTAGGCCGCATTCATTATGTGTGTGTGTAGAACATGTCATGTGATTTGTGTCCCCATTATGTCACAAGTGCTTGCTATTCTCAGGTTCAATATATAGGCCAAGTGTGTTCTCCCAAGACTTTTTACTAGCCTTATATACTGTTTGTGGGAGTCGACCTAAACTTTCGTTTTGACAACACACACTGTTGTTTTAGCTAACTGGTCTTCTGTACTGCGTGTGTGGAGCATTCTTGGTGGGAACATCCGCTGTTTTTGTCCACATGTTTTCTTTAGGAATTCAAAGTTATGAAAAGTTCGGCGAACCCATTCTGGTTTGTTTACGGAAAAACTGGCCTTGTTAAGTAGACAACAATCAAGTAGTAAAACCTTTTTAACACTTTCTATGTTATCTTCCCCCTATCTCCTAACTGGCACAGGGTTGAGAGCTACTCGTGCAAGATGACCAAAGCGGAGAAGAAGATCCGAAAGCAGATCAGCCATCAGGACAGCAACCCAGGAGTCCAGGCTCTCTCTCCCCCTCAACCCTACGGCTCGCCGCTCGCCTACCCACTTCACGGGAGCCCTCTGGCTCCGGTCTACGTCAGAATGCCGAGCTGTACCAGCACCACAAGCACCACCCTCTCAGAGCCTCACATGTGCGACATAATCAGCACTGCGACGCTGCTCTACCTGCGACAGACCCTCAACCTATCGTTTCACCCCGACTACGATTTCTCCAACGCCAAGTCGGAGGAGTTTAGTCGAGAGCCTGACCTGAAGGTAGTGATGGAGGCCGTGCAGAGCAAGCTGTCCGGGGCAGCCAGAGAGCGCTTCTCCCACGTGGAGGGACAACTGTGGGCTGTGGTGGATGAGGTAATTCAGCTGGGAGACTGCGAGATTTACAGGTGAGGGTGTAATTTTTGAGGAGAGAGAGAGAGAGAGGGAAGAGGGGAGGTGGGGAAATAAAGAGGGGGTGAGACAGACACGAAAGGAGGAAGGGGAGTGAAAAAGAATACTGTGTGTGTTATATGTTCTAAAAAGGTATTAGGAAAGGAAGTGAGGGGGGGGGGTATATCGTTGCACTATTCCCAACTGAGCTCATTCTCCAAAGTCAAGCCCCACCGTGGCTCTGTGGTGGGAAATGGCAGGGGAGAGTTGGCGGTCAGTCTGATTAGCTCTGGGATTCCATAGTCACGTGTGCATGTGGGTGGAATGTCAGCATGGGGTATTCTTAGACCGAGGAGCTTCCGAATCTCTCATCTATTTCATGTGAATCTCCAGACAATGTTCATAGAATGAGCCGAGAGTGGTCTGTTCTATTTATAGTAAGGAATGTGGGTGACATCGTGTATTATGAGTATTATAGTAGGGGGGGACACACCAGACCAGGCCACCTACTCTCCTCATCTTACTCCCACTGCCCCCCTCCTTAGCACTCCTACACCTAGGTCAATACTACCACACAGCTTAAAACTAAAATCTACCACAAAGAGTGTACTCTGTACTCTGGTACATGATTTCTAAGGTCGTATTTACTAATGTGCTGGACAGTGGGGGTATACATGTAAGGCCTGGTGTTGAGCTAGTCGTCGTTGCTCCCTCTGCATCTCTCTCTTGCTTGCTTTGAAGAGAGGAAGCACGGTTCTAGTACACAGTGGAAGACACATCAGAGTCTGTAAGTACAGAGGAGAGAAAGATAGACAACATCATGTGTGTCTGATGTTTAGGGTATATACATGTGTACGATATCAGTACAGGTCAAAGCTACATAGAGTACGTAGGTCATGTGTTGCAGCGTCTGATCTTCCACTTTGAGTCAGGTGGGCAGTCTAAATGTTGGCATGTAACTTTCATCCTTTTTCGACGGTTGTGTACTGCCCTCTCCCTAGTACTGTCCCCTCTCTAGTACTGCCCTCTCCCTAGTACTGTCCCCTCTCTAGTACTGCCCTCTCTCTAGTACTGCACTCCTCTCTAGTACTGTCCCCTCTTTAGTACTGCCCTCTCTCTAGTACTGCACTCCTCTCTAGTACTGTCCCCTCTTTAGTACTGTCCCTCTCTCTAGTACTGCACTCCTCTCTAGTACTGCACCCCTCTCTAGTACTGTCCCCTCTCTAGTACTGCACTCCTCTCTAGTACTGTCCCCTCTAGTACTGTCCCCTCTCTAGTACTGCACTCCTCTCTAGTACCGTCCCCTCTTTAGTACTGCCCTCTCTCTAGTACTGCACTCCTCTCTAGTACTGTCCCCTCTTTAGTACTGTCCCCTCTCTAGTACTGCACTCCTCTCTAGTACTGTCCCCTCTTTAGTACTGTCCCCTCTCTAGTACTGCACTCCTCTCTAGTACCGTCCCCTCTTTAGTACTGTCCCTCTCTAGTACTGCACTCCTCTCTAGTACCGTCCCCTCTTTAGTACTGCACTCCTCTCTAGTACTGCACTCCTCTCTAGTACCGTCCCCTCTTTAGTACTGTCCCCTCTCTAGTACTGCACTCCTCTCTAGTACTGTCCCCTCTCTAGTACTGTCCCCTCTCTAGTACCATCACTGTATACACCGTCCTTTTAGTAATGCAGCATGGAATACATAAGTCCTGTTATTGTAGGTCTATAAGAGCATCCACAAAGGTTAGCCTGTGTGAATACTATAGCTCCATAGCACAGAGTCTCTCTGTTACGTAAGAACCTGTGTCAACAGCCTCGGCATATATATATACGCATATGCTAGTATAGTGGCTAGTTCTCACAGCTCGTGAGTATTTTCAAGTGGATTGATATTCACTGGGTGCCATTGTAGGCCACCTGTGCTTCTCTTCATACCTGGGATATGTGTATGTATGTATGTATATTACACACCTACGTATAGTCCCTTTGTATTATACACTACTATAGCCTGTATACGTATGTGTATATAGGGTCCGTATTAATTGGTGGGCTATTCACATTACACAATCTTGTACTGCGTCTAATGGCTGGTTTAGTACCAACATGCAGATGGTGACGTATGTCGTAGTGCAGTCCATTAAGGCCTGTGGGCAGCTCTCAAGTCTCCACACATACACACTATTGTAATGTACTCAGCCATTAGAGGTGTATTGATGCACAATGCAGTAAATGAGGCATTTGTCTACACATAATATAGAAAGTGAATAAACAGACTGGATTACCGTGTGTATATACCCCAATGCCTATTACTATGTATACAATACTACGGCTATGCTTCAAATTGTGTTAAGGAATGGTCAATGTATTGTTACTAGAATGTGTAAATTCAGGCGTACTCTCTCACACCCTATCCCCAATCAAACCCCGTTCACACCTGTATATAGTTTCACCTCTCTGTCGTAGGTATGATACAATGACGTGGTCTTGGGTTTTTACCCGATTCCATTTTGAACTGTGTGTATATGCAGTGTACTGCATGAGAGGAGGCCATTCGATGAAACTACAACTCAGCTGTTAATGAGCTAGAATTTTCAAGGAGGGCTTGTTGTCCCCCTCCAGTGTTAGGTTACACTGTAAGATGCTATACAGGCCCGTGTGTGTGTGTGTGTGTGTGGGACTTGCTGGGGCACACTGTCTACTGCTGTATCTTGGTGGTTTCACTGCATACTGAAACTTGAGTTTCGCCATCCCCTCTGCGGGTGTTACCTCTTCGTTACGCTTGTGTAGCCTCCCCCTGCGTGCATCATTCTAGGAGCTTCGGAAACGTGAGACTGTGTCTCCGTTTCCCAAAAACACACCCAGCTTGTCCCCTCACTGGATTCTTGTCTTCTCTGATAGTTGTCCTGCACAGTGCGCCGGCCGTTCTCTTGGCAGCCACACGACAATACCTGCAGGGTAGAAATTAGACACTACCAGCTGCTATAGGTGTTCATATCATAATGTCGAGATTCTGCAGTTGCATTGCCATACCGAGAGAGGCCTCTCAACTCAGCTGTTAATGAGTTAGAAGTTTCACTGCATAATGAGTTTCACCCTCCGTGATATGAGATCAATAGCAATATCATAGGCTGGAGAGAGTATGCGCACTGACTTTGTTGGAGGGAGAATTCATCAAGTCGACACCATCAAAATGAGTGGAACTGCAGCTGCAGTCTGCATTGTGTGTGTGAGCCACTCTGTAGAGTAGTGGGTAGAGAAAGAGTGTCCTTTGGTCTCTCTACCAGGCTTCCCCTTCAAGTCAAAGAATGCATTGATCTGCGGCGTTTCTGTGGGAGCTATACCACCTCTTCCTCTCTCTCTCTCATTGTCTCTTTCTTCACTACCCCCATTCCCCAGCTGTATAGGGGCTTCAGACCTAGTCTGAGAAACTGTCGACCTGTGCTTACGGTCGGTGACCAAACCACTTTCTCTACAGAGGAATGTACCTGCACCATTCTCCTTACCTACCTTCCTTCCAGGTTATAGTATTGTGTGATTTCAGCTCTTGGTGAGTCTGGTGTCCCAATCCCATTGATCTGTTCTGAAGGTGGTCCACTTCTCTTTGTGACCTGCGAGCAGCTGTGGATGATCTCAAGAATCTTGCAACGTAGAGCTTCTCGGCGAGGGCATGTGACCCCCTCATTTCCCAACCCTGAAAGCTGCTGTAACTACTGATAGATTGCATAGCAACCTCCCATGGCCAAACTCTCAGTGCCTGACAAAATGTGCGTGAGATGAACTGAGGTCACGGTGCATGTTACACCTGGAGGTCCCTTTTGGTGGAGGATTTTCTCACGATTATATTCGCCTCAGAAGTGCTTCCTTTGCTCGGCTCAGCTCTCCGTGACACACTCTACATTAACCTCTGGTTTCAGTCCTGCTAGCTTCAGCAAATGCAACCGAAAATCATACACCAGGACCCCTGTCTCCATGAAAAGTCAAACGTTCATAATACTCACTCGTATCATTGCGTATTACGCACATATGTATGTACACACCATCAAAGTGGGGTTCAGGGAGTCTAAAGGTTGCATTGACGCCCACCACGCTCTCTATACCACTGTACTGGTCCTCTATGTGCGGCAGTTAGCAAGTGACAAACTGCCCCTCACTTCCTGGAGGCTGGCGTGATTCATGACCAGGTGCCCCCTGGGAGGTCTCAGTAATCCTGAACACTGAATATCAAGACATGTACATGACTCTGCCCTGTGTATTCACAATCGCGGCCGGCCCCTAAGATCATGGCGAGCCTGACCTAATTCATTAGTGCCTGTCCCGGGGGATGCGGACTAAGTTACATAGCTGCTTGGCTGTAAAATTGAGGGTATGGTTGGAATGAGAGCCTTTCTGAGCTTCCTTGCCTGCCCGTTTGCTTGAGCCTTTCTCTATCCAATTCTGCTCCCTCCTCCCTTTCTGCTTCCTTCTCTCTTTATATCCTCCCTTATCTCTCTCTCTCTCTCTCTGTCTCTCTCTCTCTATCATCCTTTGCTCCCATCCCATCCCCCCACCTCACGCATCGCTGTTGACTTACCGCTGCTTAGGCACACTGTTTTCCTCTGATCCCTGTGTATGTGACCGCCGTCTCAATGTAGCTCTTATCCACTCGTCTGTTTGCTGTTCTTTGCCCAAAACCAACCCTCCCCTGTTGGTTTGACACGACTGCCAATTATTTTACTCCACATACGAAAACAACTTCGGAGGTGACTCACGTTTTTCATTAGCGTCAGACGTTGACATATAAACGTGTAAATTGTGTGAAGTTTGACGTAAGCAAACTTTAAATGTTTACATAATTATGTGACAAAGTGATTTTTTTCCATCCCCACTATTGCTGTAGCTACAACCCTGATTTGGACTCTGACCCCTACTGTGAAGACGGGAGCCTGTGGTCGTTCAACTACTTCTTTTTCAACAAGAAGGAGAACAAAATGGTGTTCTTTACCTGCTGTGCCACCAGGTATGCATATTTCACAAGACTCTATCCTTCTCAAATGTCATTACGTCCATCCTCCTTGTGCCCGTGTTGTAATTTAGAGTTTAGCTGTTGCCCTGTTAGCTCAGTGGGAAACTCTCTGTACCACGAGAGCTGTTAGCTCAGTGGGAAACTCTCTGTACCACGAGAGCTGTTAGCTCAGTGGGAAACTCTCTGTACCACGAGAGCTGTTAGCTCAGTGGGAAACTCTCTGTACCACGAGAGCTGTTAGCTCAGTGGGAAACTCTCTGTACCACGAGAGCTGTTAGCTCAGTGGGAAACTCTCTGTACCACGAGAGCTGTTAGCTCAGTGGGAACTCTCTGTACCACGAGAGCTGTTAGCTCAGTGGGAAACTCTCTGTACCACGAGAGCTGTTAGCTCAGTGGGAAACTCTCTGTACCACGAGAGCTGTTAGCTCAGTGGGAAACTCTCTGTACCACGAGAGCTGTTAGCTCAGTGGGAAACTCTCTGTACCACGAGAGCTGTTAGCTCAGTGGGAAACTCACTGTACCACGAGAGCTGTTAGCTCAGTGGGAAACTCACTGTACCACGAGAGCAGAATGGTGTGTTATTGGGTTCAACCCAGCTGACGCCCTCGGGGAGTCACACGTACTAGCTAATGCATTTAGTGACCTGTTTCCAGTGGTAAGACGCACGCGAGTGAGGTGTGAGGTATGCCTATATGTGTGGTGCATGAATTTCGTGTTTGCGAGATGTGATGTGTACCCGGTACAATCCGTCTATGTTCATGTTCCTATGCCACACAAGTGCTGGCATTCCTGCCATATGTAGAATGTATGCACGGAGCGTTTTCTTTCCCAGGGTATGCCCCCTCCACAATTGAGCCACTGTTGTAGTGAACGCGGCCGTATTACACTAACTGAGGCGTTGTTGTAGGACACCGATAAGGTCTAATGGCCGAACAGTTTCAGTTTATGGCAGAGTTCTCTCAATGAATGTCTGTGTTACTATGGAGGGGAGGCCTTTCCTATCTATCACTGGACATATTCTATGGCTGGGACTATCGGGCCAGTATGAATCTCAAGGTCATGTGAGCTATTAATAGCGGTATTTGGCGTGTTATTGTGATACACATGGTCGGACGACTGTAGTAGTGCGTGTGTGAATTGGGTACGGTGTGGTTCTGAACGTAGGCTCAAGCCTCGTTTACACAACCACGGAAAGTGTAACAGCATGCAACTCCCTTCTCTCTCTCTCTCTCTCTCTCTCTCTCTCTCTCTGCTCGTTCGCTCCCCGTGTTTTATGAGGGGTAATAGTTAAAGCCTCCAATCTGAAACCACAACTATTAATCACTCCGAACCGTTGTTGTAATCACAACCAATAATCTAGAGTGGACAGCCCCCTCCTTCCACTTTTCACTTCTTTACAGCAGCCTATAGCCATTGTATTATTCCGTTCATTGTGGCTACATGAATCGCCCTAGCTATTGGACCAATGGTGGGATGTAAGGAGCATGTGACTGGCTGTAGAATAAGTGTCCATGTAGTACCTACAAGAAACTGCAGCCACGTGGGTAAGAGGAACCCGCATGTTCGCTGGGAGTGGGTGTGCTGGGACTGGGTTCGCTGGGACTGGGTGTGCTGGTTTGCTACAAGGTTCACTGACTAGGGGAGAAGTTCTGGAACCTACTGCACCCTTGAGCTGTTGCTGTGTACCACACATTGACTTACGTAGCTGCACACACTGCTCTGCCTTTTCCAACTCTTCAAGAGGTTTAGACTTGTGTTGGCCTTGCTCAAATCCAAAGTTTGCCGCATGCAGTGGAGTAGGCCAAATTGGAGACACATGCTGCGAGCTTAATTCTCTTGTAAGTGCATTCTGACACATTGTTGCAACAGATATAACCCTTCTCTCTCTCTCTCTCTCTACAACTGTAGGTATGTGTAAACTTAGTGGCTTAATGGTCATTACTCTACATGTGATGTACACACTCTGTTCGTTTAAGGCACCCACTGAAGGCCTTTCCAAACTGCTCCCACTACTCTGTTTGCATAGCAAGACTCCTTGCCTTACGTTTCCCATACGTCCCCTCCTATTCACAATGGCCTTTAGTTCACTACACACTGCTCTTGGTAATTCAGACACTTTTCATCCTCTATTGAGAATGGCAATTTGCCCCTTCCCCTAATTGATCATTACTGGATATAAGATTAGCCGGTGGTGCTCCTTAATTTGCCTAGATATATAGGCCCCTTCCCTGAATATCTTTCTAGAAACATTGCCTCTCTTTGTAAAATGCAGTGTTTTTTGTTTTGAGAGTATAATTATTATACTGTACCGGGAATTTTCACACCTAATCTGTTGTACATGGCGCCTTCAAATTGCCTTCTTTACCAGTTAGTGTTTATGCCTTTGGTTGCTGGACTGTGCGTATTTGTCCTTGTGTGTGTGACTGTCGTTTGATGTAGGGGTAGCGCCGCTCTACGATTTGTCGTTGTTAAGTAAACACATCATTGTTCAGTGTAACCGCATTGTTAATTGGTCGGTGTTTTCGTAAGAAACTTTGAGGCTTGTCTCTGTCCACTTGTGTGTGTGTGTTTGTCTGTCTGCATACATCGGTGGCCGGTGATGGTATATCTGTATTGTGTGTGTGTGTGAACCCTGTCAAGTAGTGTTTGTTGGGCCAGGTGACGTTGGAGAGACGCTCTCTCTCTCGGTGTGTCTTATGGAGGAGTGAGAGAGTTTGGGATGTGTGTGCGTGTGAGGTCATGTGGTCAGCCTTACAAGGCCGGGCATGCAGAAGACCACTGCTGTACTCCACAAACCTTTCTCATGCTCTCCAGACCACCGGTTACTAGCAACATATGTCACACCCTCTCTCTCTCCCTTTCCTCTCTCTCTCTCTCTACAGCTATCTAGCTGACACGGACTCCCTCAGTGAAAGTGACTGTGAAGACCTCCTTGAAGAGGACATGCAATTTGATTTTGCTACCTGAGACCTGAGACCTCTCCCCCCTACCCATCCTTTCTGCACACGCATACACCCAACACTACTCCTGCACAACAGACAGACTTCCTACTATTGCGCCGTCTACTGTTACTTCATGCATATTATATCACAGGTTAGTTTGTCTTTGAAACCCTCACATATTCATACCGCCACTGACAACACACCCCCCATGGTCCATTACAAAACTTCCTCCATTGGTCCTTATACTCCATAAACACCAGGGATGCTGTATGATGGAAGCAGCGAGAGGACTTGATGCCTTTCCTTCCTTAGTTGTAGGGCCACGCACATTAATGCATTACAACAGGAGGTTCACGCACATTAATGTATTACAACAGGAGGTTCACGTATTACAACAGGAGGTTGTTGGCCAATGAATCTTCCTGTACACCGGTTTTGTAACTTCCTCCTCCTCCCCCTCCTCTATTCCTCGCAGAAAATTGTTGTCACATGACCACCTGCGTCGCTGCTGTGTATATACGTGTAGCTAGGAAGTGTTTCTGAAGGCCTTGATTATGTAACAGCATCCCTAGCATTGGTGTGTGTGTGCATTTGTGGAGGATGTTGTGGTGGGTTTTTGGGGCACTGGAAGTGAGCGTCTTCCTGTCATGAGCTCTTTTGCAAGTATCGGGCTGGGGGCTGAGAATTTGTTATTACGCCTGCTATATCCTCTGCCCAATTAGGAGTCACTTATTACTTGACCCCTATCAGTTTAGTGTGTGTGGGCCTGTTGGGGAAAGGGCTGAGTGTTTGCTGGACTGCCTTTACACTTTGTGGGCTTTCCGAGGTGTAAATTGATCACAATCTTGAGTCTATCTAAAAATAGTAGCAATATGTGATGATGTAATGCATTTGCCATGGCAACCTCTGTGTAATTCTATTAGAGTGAGTTGTTATCTCTCATTGCAGCCCTGCAAATCCTGGAAACAGAAATAAAAAAATGGACCTGTAACCAGTTCAATATGCCATCTTCTTATTCAATATACTGTATATTATGTGTATACTCCAAGAAACAGTTTTTAACCCCTACACTCGTTTTATAGCCGTCATGTGTCACAATGTATCACCACTATTTTGTGTATCAGTCGAAAATTGTCAGAGGTTTTATATATAAAAAAAGTCTGTTCTTTCAACAATGAACATCACATTTACAAGTGATAATACGGACGGACATATAATCTTCACATTATAGAGAGAACACCTCGTACAAAGTATTGTGAATTATAGGAATGTGATTGTCATGCACACAAACACAAAAAGGAAACAAGTACAAACGGAGAAAAAAAAATTGTGCACTCTGTTGTTACCTATGACATGAACTGGTGGTGGTTTGAAGTTTAGTTTTTTAGCAGATTTTTTCGTTTTTTTTGGAGGTTTTTCAGAGGTGTGACATAGAGGGTGCTGGCAGTAGACAACGTGCAGATTCTCACGAAAAAAGAAGACCAGAACGCGATGAAAAACAGACAAACAGTTATAAACTCGACCCAAGGGTTTTCTCTGGTTTGATCTTGTGTGATGCGAGAGAAAGGGGAGGTGGGCGAGGCGGGCGGTTGTTGTCGAGTCAGGAGTTTTCAGGCGACCACACCTCTTCGCCTCTCTCCAGGGCTTGAGCTCGGCGCTTCCACTGGTTCCTCTCCTCCCCCAGCGACCTCACCCGATCGTTTAGCTGCGCCACTTGTAGCTTAAGCTCGTCCCGCTCCTTCTCAAGCGTGTTCTTCTGCGAGACTCGGCGGACCCTCGAGTTGTACGCGTAGCCGCGGTTCTTGAGCGTCCTCCGTCGCTTTTTCAGCTGCTTGATCACGTCGTCCGGGAGATCCCGGCAGATTCGGTTGAGGTCTCTGGCCGAGAAGCTGACGAGCTGTTCTTCGGTGAGTCCCTTTATGTTCACCTCGCCCAGATCGATGGGTTGGGAGTCGAGGTGGGAGGAGAGATCCAAGGAGCCGTCGTCGCTCCTCGGGCTGAACGGGGAGGCCAGGGGGCTGAGGGTGGAGCTGACGAGGCACTCTGCTCCGGGAGTCGGCGGCTGGGAGAGGGTTAGAGGCGGCTGCTGACCGCCGGGAGTGTACTGTCCGTCCATAGGCCAATAAGCGCGCTGTGGTCGTGGGGCGAAATCGAAAAAGCCGTGTGAATTAGGTTCAGGCTTCACGGGCACCGCGGCGTGCGCGCCGACGAGAAACGGTGGTTTCTGCAGATGGCCGCCGGGCAGCGCAAGTGTAGGAGTAAACGGATCAATGTCTGGCGGCAGGTAATGGTCAAAACCTGGATCGAAGAAGCCTCCCGGAACAACTGCAGTGCTCTCCGAGTGGTAAGGAAAATCGACAAGTTCCATAATATTGAACGGCTACGTCTTGCGTGCAGTGAGGTCTTTTCTGCACCGTTTCTAGGCGTAGCAGCGAATGTTTGCAAAAGATAAGCTCTGGATGTCTTGCAGAAGACGGGGTTTGTGTTTTTATACTCGTCGCTGCATGCCGCTTCCACACAGTGCGTGTTGCAATACCTGCGTGTTACTATAAAAAGCAGTCATGTGACGTTTTATGTTGCGTTAACTCTGCGTTTCGTTTACGTGATATTTACGCGCCGCTAACCGCGTGGCGCGTACGACTCTGCACACTGATTGACAAGCCGTCTTCCAGGTGTTTCAGCGTGTGGCCGGCCAGCCCTGTGTCGTGAATAGCCGCCGACTGCCCGATGCGGTGACAGCAAGACGGAGAGTCCCATCATCCCCGCTTTTCTTAGCCCAGCCACCTTAGGTAGGTAGCTGCGGGGCGTTTCATGACTGTGCGTATGTAGCACTGTGTAAACATGCCAACTCCTGTATGCCCACTATTTTAACTGACTCCATATTGAAGATTAGTGTCCCTTCCCTCCTGTCCAAATTTACTGCCCTTTATTAGTGGCTTATTACCCTCTGGTGGTAGGAGACAATCTTTGGGAGCAAGGTTTATCAAACTGACCCCAGCCTGTGCTATGCCCCATCAATTAACACTTGATTAGCAGTGCAAATTCGCCAATCCCAAAAAAACATAACCGATGCACATACTAGCAGTGGTCCTAACGTGACCGTCCCTGGTTTGCTCACAACTTCAGTGGAATAATCATTGTTGCCAGCCACCTGTTCGTGAATAATGAAAAAAAAGGTAGCCAAGAGATCGAATGACTTCGGCTTTCCGGCTTCGCTACTAGCTCTGTGATTCCTCTTAAAATTCTTTCACCACGCCGGGTGGTCGTGGTGAAATATCTGTTGTTTGCCTCGCAGCGGACTTGGTTGCGTCGCCATACAACTTGGCCCTGGTTTGCAGCTGATTCGCGAGGCGGACAAGTTGTCTTGTAGCCTCGTTGTTTGTCTAACTAAGGGCACGGCGCGGTAGGTGTCGTAAGAGCTGCTGTGTTCTGTCGCACCTCCGCCCTGCCTTCATAATGGTCTGAGAACAGATTGGTAGGCGGTTTGTGTGTCCTCGTCTCACACACGGCAGGCGTATATGCAGTACAAGTTTACTGTCCCTCGCGGCATAATTGGATAGTTTGGGAGGGACACATACAAACATTCTTAGCTTCTTAGCTGCACACAGTACACAAGCGACATTCTCCCTCTTTCTTTCCCCCGTATCTTTTTCTCGTGATCGCCCCATCTTTTTTCCTCCCCCCCCTTCTCTCTACTATCTCTTTCCTCCTCCCTCTCCCCACACTCTTGATCCTCAGCTCCCTCTCTACTACGCGATGACGGAATGGTACCGTGACCCAGAAACCGTCAGAGTCCTCTACGGTCTGACTGTATCCAACGGCATCGTTAAGAAACTCTCATCAGGCGTGGCCGAATCAAGTGTAGCTGGAACGATTGGTGTTTTGGTGACACCGTCTCTCTATCCACTAGACCAGTTTACTCTAGCTCGCGATGTCCAGCCGGGATTTAACTCCCTCATCGACTCCGTTAGCAGAAGCCATGAATTCCTGACCAGCGCCTTGGAGAAGTACGTTGGTAGTTTCCTTATATGTGCGCAGGCACATTGTAGTGTTTGGTTTATTAGTTATCCATTGAATATCGTTGTCTTTGTCTTGTTACTCACACTCACACACCGATCATGGTCACAGTGTGTTGGAGACGGACAGTTTTACCAGGAGGCTCTTTGAAATTTACAAGAAAACTCGCCAGGACAACCAACAGGTGAGTTTATACCAACACTCTTTGTTTGTTCTGCTTGAATAATCGAGCAAAGTTCGTTTTCGAGAGGTTGGCTCATACTTACACTAGATTAATCTCACGCAGCTATATATCTTGCACAGTTTAACGTGTAGCTGTACAGGTATTATGGTTTTGGACACTATATGAGTTCTACCAATTATCCCTCCTTTGATCCCATTAAACCAACCCATAATGAATTGGTATCATCTCCGTGGTGTGGCTCTCACATGCTCAGGGGGCGTCCATCTGATCTTGACTTTTCATTCCTTCTTAACTCTATACATGTTCTGGTAACAAGAGAAGATTGTTAGTATGCAGGCTGGTATGCCTTGCCCTCTCACTCTCTGCTCACTCTCTCTCTGGTAGGTTTGGGGGACTACCCTGGGGATTCACTAGTTAATTACTTGTTTACAAAAATTTTATCTTACTTTAAAAATGCCTGCTCATAGTCTGTGGTTTTTGGAGCAGTAGATTTGATAGCCAAATTGCCCTGTGGCTAGTTAACCCTTTTCCAACTGCACTGTTCTAAATTAACCCTTTTCTGACTTGTGTGGGTATTGTTGTGCAAGGGCTGGTGGGTTGGTCTATCTACCCATCTGTGGTCTAGCAGAACTGAAGTGTTAAAATCCATATCTAAACTACCCCAGGGCTGAATAATAGAAAGAGTGGAGAGAGGTATAGCATTATTGGAGAGGCTAAATTAAACATAACTTGTTAGGCAGCGCCAACTTCCTTTTGCACACTTTCCACACTTTGTAGGCTCAATAATGATTAGTGCGGTACTTTAGTCGTACAGGATCCGTCGCCAATTCTGTTATCTATGTGTACCTACATACATAATCTACAACACAATTACAACCGAGTGTAAAGAGCCCGTTTGTCTGCTTGTAAATGTTGTAGAGAGCTTGTAGCTGGTCCACAGTTGGAGTCTGGCTGGCTGGAGTCCCGCCGTTTTTGATCTCCTCTCCGGCCAAGTGCTCATTTCCTGGTCAACGTAGCCGGCTAGTCTAAATGGGCGATTATTCCGGGTGCTTCAGAGGCGCTCTATTCCGCCTGTACTGTGGAGGAGTGTCTGCCTAGGCAGCTAGGCTGGCTGGCAATGCTAGGAGTAACCCCTCCACCTAAGGTCTCCCTAGTTACAGTACGAGAGCTGAGACCTGATGGGGACAAAGGAGAGGAAGTGGAAGTGGACCTGTGAGGAATTCTCTTGAGAATTTCGCTACTCAAAGGAATTAAGGGTTGAAGTTACGCTTTTGCAAGCGTGCTGTGCGTTTCTGGGATTCAATTGTAGGTCATGTGATAGTCAATCGCCCAGGGGCTGCACTGTAATTTTGTGGGTGTCACACACCTGTAAAGACTGTTCTCATGAGCGTTGCCATGTCAACAATCACTAGGTGATGACCTTTCCTCCTACTGCCCTATTATGTCTCGGTGCCTTCGAAGGAATGCGTGTATTTTGAACAAAACCGACAGCTGCCTTTGTTCGCTACAACCGGCAAAGTTTACCTTCCTTTTAACTCTGTAGTGACCGAGCACTTTAACCCTCTATTGGCTGTAATTGTAGATTAACTCTGTAGTTACTACAGTAATTGTAGATTAACTCTGTAGTTACTATATAGACAGTGGAGTAATGATTGTCTATTTATTCACTGTGTTGTAGATATGCCTAATATCAGACATATGTGGGCACATGTAACATAATACGTACAATATTTCTACTGCTGTATATGTATGGACCAGAGGCCCTGAGCATGAATAGTGATGAAATTTAGCCGTGTTCCAGGAAACTCACGGGGATTGGTGCAAATGCTTTTAAACTGCTTCTGGCGCCAATTATACACATGTACGAGACACCATTTTGTGACAATATTCAGTTTTCTCAGCAGTAACACAGAACGAAACTGTCAAAAAAACCACAGGTTGACTATTGGTAGATGAAGAATTTACGTGGATGATTGTAACTTAACTTATTAGCGGTTGCCGGGCAACCGAGAGGGGTCGGCGTGGGTGCAATATCAAGTATGTGACACGTGGAAGGGAAATCCCCAGGGGGCTCCCATGACCCACAGTGTACATAGTACTGTTGTGTGGTGTGATGCGGGTATTAGCGAGCCCTATCTGCTGCTATGAATATTGGTAGTAAGTGTGGTCTGAGCTGTGGTGTTTTTGTTGTCCAGGTGTCCTGCTCTTATGCAATTCCCTAGGCTGGTTTTAGTTACATGGGGCAGTGCACATGCAAGAGGAGTAGGTGAGGAGAAAGCCTGAGGTTTGTGGCTTTTTTGCAGTCTGATTTGACACTGGTGGTTAGTTAGTTGGCCAGCTTGCTGCCATACCACACCTGTACTCAGAGAGAATGGCATGCCAGGAATTTGATTGAATACACACACACACACCTTGTGACGCTAGCTTTCTGTTTCCATGGAGAGACTTCGCCGAACAATAGAGTTTCCCTTTAGTCGCTGTGTGCGTGTGTGTGTGTGTGCAGTCTGCGTTGTCGTACTTATAGGGTGTGTCCGTGAGAAAAGAGTGTGGGAGTGTGGGAGGGTGGTGAGGTGGTGATGCAGCGGCCTTATCCTCTATTTATTGACACACACACTGCGACAGACTGCTAACAGAGATACAATTGTAGCATGCAGTTCCAGTGTCGTGATCAGTGAGCGAGTGTCTGCTTAACAAAATTGCGGGTCATGAGTTGGTTGTTTGCGTGCGGTTGTTGCTGTTAGATAATGACAAAGTGGCAACAAATTGGTCTGAGGACCGGTACATTCCAAACATCCCATATCATACCAATTACACGACGTCGTTCTTGGCTCTATATACAAACTTATATACGATACTTCTCACTCGAGCAATGTGCATTTCCATAAGTAATGAGGTGTTTGTATATGTGTGTGTAGTGTTGATTGTGTCTGTGTTATAGTTATTGTCTCGCTTTCAATACACCACTGCTGTCAGTCCGTATGTGCGTTACTAATCCTTATTTACTTTACGTGACTCGTACCTTACCGCACCACCTGCGCATTATCATGTTTCGGCGGTTGCCATGGGAGCAGCCTTTACGCAGCGGCAAACATAAGTCTAAGACTCGTGGACATGTGAGAGTGGCTAGGGCCCAGCTGGTACCATATCAGTGGGTACTTACTACTGGCGTGATGTACATTTACTCTCAACATCGTTTGCTAGTCTTGCCTTTCCCACACTTTCTGATATACCTATAATTATGTGTGTGTATTATCTGGGGCCCAGCATAACTCCCCTTTACGTGTACTTGTAAGTATGTGCGTGTGTGTGTGTGGACGTATGAGCGACGCCCACATGTGGATGCCATTACATCATTACATCTGGTCCAATAATAGTGTCTGTGCATGACAGGGTTATCTGGCTGATTAGGTCAGGCTGGGGTTTCTGCCTCACGAATGTTTGCGTTCGATATGCAATCTCACCGGTGCACTTATAGTGCTGTGTGTTTCAGATCTGACGTCCGTTTGTCCTTTCATGTGACGTGCATGTATGTACCTATGTAGCTTCAACCAGTCAGTGAGCCTTCTGTGCGGCTGGTATTATGCACAAGCACAGCGTGTGGGTGGATTGTCTTTTGGAGTGCTCAGCTGCCCGACTGCAAAGAGCAGCTTTCGTGGAAACTTTACACACTATGAGTAGCGGCCATTAGTAGTGTACCTGTACTTGTGTGTGAACCATGTACATACCCGTGTATGTTTGACTACATATTGTACACTGGTTTGAGTTCCAATTAGCAAGGTGTATACAAGATCGTGCATGTAGCCATATCTGTTGGTGTTTTGGTAGGTCTGTACATGTTGTGTACATGTTGTGTACATGTTGTGTACAGGCAGTTTGTAAGCACCACTTGTTTGCCTGTTTGTAAGTTGTGTCTGCGATGTAAATGTGATGTAATGGGAATACATCGGGACGTGTTTGCTTGTAAATGATGGTATGCATGGCATGTGGCACAGTAGGTGAGTTGTCAGCTACGATTCCTGATAAAGGGAGAAGCACTGTTTACGTTTACCATTTCACCTCTCCGTCTGCCAGACATGTTCTCTGGGTATTCACCGCTGTGACTACATGCTGGACTGGCGTGGGGACGACGGCGGTATGGGTCTCAGACAGATCGAGATCAACACAGTTGCATGCAGCATCCAGGGCTTTGCCCCTGGACTGAAGTCGTTCCACGAGTGAGCCCCTGTAATTAGCGGTTGCTCTTCTATGCAACAAAAGATGCGTATAGTGTTAGAGCACTAATGATAAGTTGTAGTGAACATGAATCAAACAAGTAAAACTGTACCTCTACATGTGCCCCGGGTAAGATGGTGTGTGTAGTGAGATTAAAGCAGGGACCCAGCGTTGCACGCGAACAGTAAACTGTAGGAAGTAAAGCAGCTGCATACATACGATACATCAGTGTGGCGAGATCGGAGCTCTGCCTGCGTGCATTTGCTTGCAGTGACTTACTACCAGTAAATATGGCTTCAGACTGTTTCCAAGAAATGCCTTGGGCAAGTTGGTGTGCGTTTTTGAAGGCGGTTTTTCCAAGGCCTTGAGACACATGTTTACTACTACTCTCTCTACCATTGCAGGTATGTGTCCTCTCGATATGCTGAAAATGAGACTTTCAATGTACGGCTGCTGTAAAACAATTTAGGATGTGTTCGTTTTTTGTAGGTTCCCCAGAACTTGTGTTTAGAAGCTACAGTGGATGCATTTGCAATAGCTTGGAATGAGTTCAAGAACGAAGAGTGAGTTAACACCTTCACCACTGCTTTTTAATTAGTTATTAACCCCATCCCCACTAAGTGTCTTAACCCCTTTGCTACTGGGGACACTGTTCCATATTACATGGATTAAGTATCACTCGTGTTACAGTAATCGCTACATGTAATTTACAAGACGTAAGTAAGTAAAATTTCAAAAGTTTCCACGACCTTGACGCGACACTATAGCCTCGGTAGTAATTTCATATACAGCTGTCGTGTTGTGTAACATGTAATGGTTCTCTTGTGAGTAATAGTGGTATGTTCAGACCGGTCGCTGCGGCCAAGACGCTGCCGGTAATCGCATTTGATCACGACATCGCAATAAAGTCGTTAGGGGGAGGGTTGCCGTGCGACGGGCAAGGCTGCCTGTCGCTAAAAGCATTATATTGTGCAAATATAATTTGCCGTTGGAGCCTCTTGAATGAGCCGGGCAGATGTCTGCTTGGATCTCCTACGTGGCTCTCTCTGCTCCAGCCTCACTCCCCTTGCCAAACCATCCCTCGGTCCGTCCCACTCACTTAATCACGTTAGAGGAGTTTCAAACCAACCGAGTGGTGGAATACCAGGATAATTTTCACCAAACGATAGCACTGAACTGCCTTGCGCAATACTCTGGCTTCCAAGACAGTGATATACAAACAGATACACAAAACACAAAACTAAAGAAGAAAGAATGCAAAACTAAAGAAGAGACAACCGTTTCTCTCTGCCTCTTTGTCCTCTCCCCCTTCTTGTGGGGGTATATAACTCTACTACAGTAGTGGCGTGGACAAGAGAGTGAAGGTGGTGTAAATAGTGATGCAACGAGAGGAAGACCACCGTTTTTATGGTGGTGGTATGCACGGCCCTTTACTCCACTCGATCCATGGAGTGTGGTAGTAGGACCTGATTTGTGGCGACAATCTGTGGGCTGTTCTGATAATTGCTCACTTCCTCATTCCTGTGTGTGTACCCAATTGTCTCTCCGAGAGTGTTTCATTATTCTTCTCTCCTCCTCCAGAGCTGCTATTCTGTTTGTGGTGGAAGAGGAAACATTCAACATGTACGATCAGCTAGCCATAGAAGTCGACCTCTGGAAAAGGTATTACGTTTTGTTACATAACTCGAGTGACCTGCTAGCCATAGAAGTTAACCTTTGAAAAAGGGATAATTATTGTACATACAGTATTATGATATGTTACATAACTCGAGTGACCTGCTAGCCATACCTTTGTATTTATAAGCACATAACTTCCATAGTTTCCAAGATTGTTTTGAAAATGCCTTGGATACTATTGGCATTACACCGGGTGAGTCAATTGATGGAGTTATTAAAATTGGCTGGGGTGAGTGTGGGCGTATTGTACTGGATTGAATTAGCCCGTGAGTACTAATAACTTACTTCCAAATATGGAGAACCTGGTCGTAATGATTCCGCCACTCAGCGTCACATGTAGCATTACCTAATAATTACATAATCATTATTGCGACCCTTTCTTAAATAAGAATATACACACGGACAGGCCATACGTGTAATGTGCAAGTCAAACAAGATCAGTACCGGTTTTCCCTGCACACTCGAGCAGAACACTTGCAAGAGATCAAAAACCGAGAGTAGTTCTTATCTTGTTTGTCGGCACCGGCTAATGGTCTCGCTGCTCTGTAACCCAAAACAGTCCACTCTGGATGGCAGTGTAAACTGAAGCCACTCACGGGGCCTCCTTGCATCCATCCTGTGGTGGTGTGTAACAAATTACGCTCTCCCGTCTTTATGTTGCCTCCTTTATGCACCACTGGACACACACGGGTAGACGGTTGAAGTCAGCTTTGTTGGCTTTGTTAGCTGCGGCGTGTGTGGCCTACTTACACTGTTTACACAAGCACAATATGTTTATCAGTGATGTGTGTAGGTATCATTGTACCTGTGTATATATATGTATTATAGCCCTGGTCTATACAGACAATGCTTACCGTGGTTGGATAATGAGCCCAATAATGTGAAGCACTATCTTATACACTTATTGGCATTGAGGACTACTTATGTGACGATTGATTCGATAAACGCACCTCTACCTCAGGCATATGGTGCCGGTATAGCTAACTGAATTAGGCAAAGTTTTGATTGGGATTAAATCGTGTAATGGGCTGTTCGCCATTCATCAATTATGCAAGAGTTCTATAGTGCTTGCCATAGTATACACTCACACTAACTTCTCCCTTCCCTCACTACATGTGCATGTTCCACCTAATATGGCCCACGTGAGTACCTATACTGAGTATGCTCGTCGCTCCTACCGCGGCCGTTTTACTACTGATGTCACGATGAGGTAATGTTTATTCAAAAACGGAGCTCAAAGCGCGGAGAACAGCTGTGCTAGTGTAGTAGGCAATTATTGTCTACTCTCCCAACTGCATGTATACAGTATTGACTGCGGTTGAATTTTTATTTCAATACGACCGCCGCTGAGCTCCTGCACGCCCGCTGTCTTCCTTGTATACCACCACCAGACAAGGGAGTGAATGAGAGCCTGTAACATCTGTAGCCACTTACAAGACTAACAGGAATTGCTTGTATGTCTTTACGAGAGAGTTACAGGTTTCACATGTTTTGTACAGCGTCTGCACATGTGATATGTGAGAGAGGCCACCCAATGTACATGACCACACCCCAGACGCATGTCTACTCGTTCCGATTGTAAGTGTGTGTACATGAAAACATGATTGGGAAAACTGATATCTTAGCTCTCTCATTAGCACCATTACGTACACTGCAGAGCAACCACACACACACACCTCCCACACATTGGCTGAGTAAAGTAAGTCACAGCAGTGCTTTGTAGAAGCTAGCTGGCTATTTTTGTGTTTCACTACTTGGTGCTCAGCAGGGGCTAGCTGGCTATTATTAGTAAGCCTCCACTCACGCAGCTGTCGAAAGAGGAGGACAACTGACTACCTTTGAAGTGGGTTTGTGCACACCTCACCACCTCACCCCTCCTTATTAGGGAGGGAAGCGTGATGAAGGGCGGGAGTGTCAAAGGCGTGTGAAACAGCGTCACAAGTGCTTCCTTCTCTAGCTAAGCCAGCACCTCTATCGCCGTGGTTACCACCATACAGGGGCGGAGCTGTTTCATTATGGGGAGCGATATCGTAATATTCCTGGAATGCATCTTTACACTCAGCGCATGTGTGAGAATGACTGAACACCTGACAACTATAGTTATGGACCGATTCTCTTGTGCAAGACTTACCCAGAGCACAATGTCACATGTCGGCTGTGGAATGCAGGTTGCCAATGGAAACGGTAGTATGTGTGGCGAGGTAAAGAGTACAAAGAGTTCAAAAAGGAAGTTAGCATCTGTGGTTTCTCACACCACGTCTGAGGCACTCACACAAATATTTGAATCTTGCAAGCCTCAATATTTCATCACTTTTTAGTAGCATGCATGTGGTATAATAGACGCTCTGGGTGTAGAATGCTCCTCTATAGAGACAGTATTAGATATGATGCTGAATTAACCGCTAGACAGCACTAATAAGAAGATCTGCAAAAAGCAAAAGCATACAGTATCCATTGACATACACGTGCATGTCGGCTGGGCCAACCTACCATGTTTTTTCATGTACAGTAATCGAAGGATAACTTGGCCTGTTGAAAATTGGCAGGCTCGCTGATTCACAAAACAAATTGAATCTCATCCAAATGTCCTACTTGCATTCTCCATCAATGTGTCTCCTACCATGTTGTGCAAGTGGCTCCTCCAAGCGGTAGTTACATGTATCGCTGTGCATGCGTTCCAAAATCGGTTGCCCGGTCTGTCTGTACGTTCAGTGGACACAAAGGTGTCACTGGGTTAGATCAGTCAGCTGTGCCAAGTGGACCATCTGTAGCTTCTACCGGCGCTCAGCTTGAAGGCTATGGGCTAATGGATCGTTTTAGTAATTAATAATCCCACTTGTAGTTCTGGCTAGCCTGCATAGTACACACACCACTTTACCCCACGTAGCGACGAGCAACCGTCTGTGTGCGTATGTTTAAGTATTCTTGTCTTTGTGTGACTCTATGACAATAGAAACAAGTATATAGAGTTGCACGACCGAGTGGTCATTGGCAACGACGCCATGGGGACCAACACAAGATTATGTTTTTTAAGAAGCAGCGGTCTTAGTTAGTCGTGCCGCCCACTCCGAACACACTTCAAAGTCGCCAGAGTACCGCTCTCCAAAGTCTCTGACTTCTTTGGAACCAGTTAGGTATCCCTTTACCAGCAGATAGCCTTGCTTGCTCTCTGCTAACACTCTGATCTGGTTAGCCAATTCTTTGCATAGCTGTTTGCCTTGGGTCTTGGCAGCGTGCCTTCTCTATCACGCTCACTCTAATAACAGCCCATAATGAAGGGGCCGGGGGAGTAATATCATATTTATATGCCGATTATAAGTATTTTATTGACCCTCTGGGCAGGAGGAACTAAGTGGTTTATAGGCCATCAAAAGTGGGAAATTTAATAGCTTTGTCTGCAAGACGTCGGTCTGTGGGGAGAGTCATTGCTATGGTAATAGTTTGAAAGTCAAAACACGTGGCAAATGGAGTGTGTAAACCACCGCGGATTGGTTTAAACGGCTAAAACACTGCTTACACACACACACACACACACACACATTGGTAGATACGTGTGTGAATGTAGTTATGTGTGATTATGTGTCTAATGTTAGCGTGCCCAGTGGTCTACAGGTAGCTAATGAGCAATGCAACATAACATTGTAGTGGTAATTGCCGTCTCACTGGGTTCCTAATGGTGTAGTGAGGGGGAGAGGGGGGAGAGAAGGAAGGAGAGAATCGAAGAGAAAGAGAGTTTGGGGGGGAGGTTATGAATATGTTTAATGCAATCGACTGGCTCCATGTTTCCTTGTATCCCAAAGAGTTATGGTCACTGGATATCTATTAATGTCTCGGAGGCAAAGTTCTGTGTCTGGACGTTATTCCAAACAATCAAGAGGCTCCATAATACCAAATGAATAATGAAAATCAAATTTCAAATACTTAGCAAACAACATTTTAAACTGTGAATGTTACGAGCTAAGACAACTAGCTAAGAGTAAAGATATTTACGATGTATGGTAGTTGGCCAGTGGTGGTTAATGAGCCATGGACTGTGTATTTATTTGTGGTGTGTCTTGTTTCCAGGTATTCCATCAAATGTTTGAGGAGGACGTTGTCACAGGTACATGGGGAAGCCAGACTTGGTCCGGGCCGTCAGCTGATTCTGTGAGTGTGTGTGTAACGCTATACACCAGTAGTGGCGGATCTTTCCTGAGTGAACTCGACACGATTGATGTAGTACCGATGGTTTTTGGGACACAGATTGACACATAGCGAGTGTCAGGGATCGTGGTTCGAGGTGTTTTTACAGCCCAGCTGAGCTGCCTCTGTTTTCCCACGACTCTGATACCTGTTGGGAAATATCAGGCCTCTCCGTTTACGCTCGTGTTTTGAGGCCGGGTTGTGTTTCCTTGTCCACCATCTCTGCACACATGTAAATACACAACGCATGTGGTTCGCGTGTTGGGTTACTATTCGCATGATGCAATAGTTGTAGAATCGCACGGAGATATGGAGGTAGGGTGTGCGTGTGGGGATTACTTGTTGAGATTATCGCGAGACAACGCTGCATTTTGATAAAATTATTCAGTAGCCTTGACATGATGTTTGCCCATGCTGAATGCGTGTCTTGGCATGTTTGTGAGTTGTCCAAATTCGCAATTCATTTGACACACGCACACACACTCAAACGGCCGTATGTTATTCATGCGATGCGGCAGCACGAGGTCAGTCCACACTTTCGCTGCGTGTGGGGCTTTCGGCTGCCACACGTCACACGATTTCTCAAAACAACACGTAAACTTCTCACGTCACACGTCACATACTTTTCCCGGAACAATCTCTCTCGCTCTCTCCTTCCCTTCAGTTTGGACATCGTGTGTGCAGTAGTGTACTTCAGAGCCGGCTACTCCCCCAGTGACTACCCCACTGACAAGGTCTAAGACACCCGCTCCCCACACAATGCACAGGGACATAATTATATTTGCGGCTCACAATTTTGTGGTTTTCATGGGAGACACCCAATATATGAAAATTAGACACTTTAATTTAATAGGCGTGGATTACCGATATTATTGTCCACGAAATTGTTACACTACAGTTTATTGTAACCTCCAAACCATGTATTACTAATAATGTGTCGCACATGCATAAAAATAAGTGTGTGTATATTGCGTATGTATTATAGTTACCACACTAGTGGGAGAACGTGTTTCTTGCATATCTATTGGCTGCTGTATGTTGTATGTACGCCTTTCACCGTAAAGATTTCTTATAGGGAACTTTAATGAATTTCAAGAGCCAACCAAAATTGTTGAACTTTCGTGGCCGAGACTATTGTACAAAGCCACCCGTGAGAGGTTTTCTCTGCAACTGCCTTAGAATTGAGTTTTCCCATGCTACAGCATTATAATATAGTTACAGTATGTGTATATATTATGTAGATCACACATACGCACATACATCTATTGGGATGTGTATCACCGTAGTATGCAAATGTGGTGTTGTTTATTGTACGTGTTAGCAGGTAGACCCCCAGCGTGTTGGTCAACAAATGCCCCGCTCTCCAGCTGCGAAGAAGTCGTGTGTATAGTGTGTTTGTGTAGGGGTCAGCTGGAACGACCAACAGCATATGGCGCCCAATCCATTTGTCGCCGAAAACACTATTAACAACTGCTTTCATTCTCACGACCCTGTATGGTCCGTCGTCATGGCGATTGAGTGTTTATACACACTATTACTGTGTCGGTGTAATCGCACTAAAGTTCCTTCCCTCCCTTCGTCTCTCTCCTCCCCCTCTCTCTCTCTGTTCTCTTATCCGGTATGTGAATATAGTTTGTAGTTTTATTCACGGCTCATTGCGGAAGGTGCAATATCATCTTAGGGACACGGAGCACTGTTGCCAAGTTTCCTTTCACTCTGAATAAACAGGAACTATAGTGCAGTTATGCTGAGCGTAACATCCTTAGTAGTGTGGTTCCCTGGAGGGTATGATGTAACTGTGCAACAGCCCATAGTCTGCTTCCTGTTGTTTTCTTGTAATTGGAAGTTACAAGGGAACAGGGAATCATGTAAAACATATGTAGATTGTGTACCAGATAAGGTTAGTATTGGGCATATCTGTAGCTTCAGTTAGGAAGTCTCTCATTAGCCGAATCTTATTGGGAGAGTTAAATTGGGTGCCAGCTGCCTTGTGTGTGTGTGTGTATGCATGTGTGTATGTGTATGCGTGTGTGTGTGTGCGTGCCGTGGCAACCAATGAAGCATGAGAGCAGTTTAGATATCCGTCCAGCAATTGGGTCTTAATCACTTGTAAACAGGCTACATCGGTCGGTGCTGCTGTGCGTGTGGTACGTTAGATGTGTGTGTCTGTCTGCATCATGGGCTGGCTAGATAAGGTGCGAGCACACGCATGCTGCGCTGTACATTTGCAACAGCCGTTCTGTTTGTTTTGTACTCATCATGTCAACAAACACTTGCTTGTTTGTTTTGGTCAGACGGGGGTCATGTAAATCATGTAATTGATCACGTTATCTTGTGTGGGGGGTTGTAGGTGATTTGTTTTCATGTAGCAGACACGCTGGCACACACCACCCTCCCCCCCCCCCCTCCCTTCACTCTATAAGTCCCATTTAACTTCAATGTATGTAGTTACAAGCTTTTTACATGGGGACAGCTCTGCCTAGAGGGGGGAGGGGGGGTATCATGGGTTCGAATCCCACCCAAGACAGCTCCTTCTTCTTTGGAGAAGGGTTGTCCTGGGTGTCAATGAATTGCACCATACATCTCTGGTCCGCAGACCACCATTGTGCCGCATATACTGAAGTTGTGTAGACATGTATCGCAAGTTGTTCTGACTGTACTGTAAAATGGTGCGTGCTTCATTGTAGAGTTGCTGCATGTGTCGCAAGTTGTTCTGACTGTACTGTAAATGTGCGTGCCTCATGTAGAGTTGCTGCATGGGTCGCAAGTTGTTGCTGACTGTACTGTAAAATGGGTGCGTGCTTCATTGTAGAGTTGCTGCATGTGTCGCAAGTTGTTCTGACTGTACTGTAAAATGGTGCGTGCTTCATTATAGAGTTGCTGCATGTGTCGCAAGTTGTTCTGACTGTACTGTAAAATGGTGCGTGCTTCATTGTAGAGTTGCTGCATGTGTCCAAGTTGTTCCGACTGTACTGTAAAATGGTGCGTGCTTCATTCTAGAGTTGCTGATGTGTCCAAGTTTTTCGACTGTACTGTAAATGGTGGCGTGCTTCATTCTAGAGTTGCTGCATGTGTCACAAGTTGTTCTGACTGTACTGTAAAATGGTGCGTGCCTCATTCTAGAGTTGCTGCATGTGTCACAAGTTGTTCTGACGTGTACTGTAAAATGGTTGTGTGCTTATTCTAGAGTGCTGCATGTGTCCGCAGTTGTTCTGACTGTACTGTAAAATGGTGCGTGCTTCATTGTAGAGTTGCTGCATGTGTCGCAAGTTGTTCTGACTGTACTGTAAAATGGTGCGTGCTTCATTCTAGAGTTGCTGCATGTGTCCAAGTTGTTCTGACTGTACTGTAAAATGGTGCGTGCTTCATTCTAGAGTTGCTGCATGTGTCGCAAGTTGTTCTGACTGTACTGTAAAATGGTGCGTGCTTCATTCTAGAGTTGCTGCATGTGTCGCAAGTTGTTCTGACTGTACTGTAAAATGGTGCGTGCTTCATTCTAGAGTTGCTGCATGTGTCGCAAGTTGTTCTGACTGTACTGTAAGTTTTCCATTCTCAGGAGTGGGAAGCTCGACTTCTGATTGAAAGCTCCACTGCCAGTCTCTCTCCCAGTGCGGCCTACCAACTGATGGGAACAAAGAAAGTGCAACAGTGTCTTGCTTCACCCGGGGCCCTAGAACAGTCAGCTTACCTGTGCTACTAACCAATTGTTTACTGTTTGTTTGTTTGTGTTTAGGTTTGTCAGTGATCCAAAGTTGGTGAAGAAAATGAGATCAACGTTTGCCGGGCAATACGCACTGGACAAGGTTGTTGTTGTTGTTTACTGTTGTTGTTTACTCTATGTTGACTGTGTCACATGATGGCAGACTCCGGAGGGAGACAGAGCTGTAGAACTGGCTCTACAGGATCCGGACCGGTTTGTCTTGAAACCTCAGCGAGAGGGCGGAGGTAAGAGAGAAAGAGATATAAAGAAAGAGGGAGAGAGGGAGGAGAAGGCGAACTGGCTAATGATCCGTGGATACATGTGGCTAATCTAATAATTAAGGGCATTATTGGAGCGTGATGAGGTCACTTTACAGAGCATATCACAGCATTGTAGGCAAGCAATGAATCTCATTAGCATCAGCTTCCAGTTCATTGCATCATCTCCCAGTAATTCCCGCCAGCTCAAGTGGCTAGCTTTTATAATTACCTCGGGCGCACTGTTTTTTCTAAATAAGGTAATTTCAGAGGTGCTTGATTGCCTGATATTTTAGACATGCTATCTTCCAAATTTCCTTCTGTTTTACAAGACATTACGTAATCATTTTGTAAGTATACATTAGTTAGCTTAGCTCTGTTGCCATAGCAATTATCTCAAGTGTTTCGCAACAGCTAATGGTCCGAGGTATTTGGCAATGATAGCTATACACTGGCATGCAGTAACACGCAGTATAGGCAAACTGGCATCGAAATGCTAATTGCATTCCATCACCGATGTTTTCTTGTTCCTATTGCTGTGATTGCAGAACACGTCAGAAAAATTGTCAACAAATTGCAATTAATTTCCCTCTGTACCAATTCTCTATATGACCATCTTGACCCCTGCCAAGTGGGGGGTGCAGTAACACTAATCACGACCTCTGCCTCGTGGACAACTACAGTACCTGGGGCCCCCCACAGAGCGCATTGCCATGGCAACACTACATCACGTTGCCTCTGATGTGTGTGTGTGTGTTTGCGATCTCACGTCGGTTGAGATGACGCGAGCGAGCGAACATGACATGTTTTCATGTCCGAATGCACAGTTGTGCATCGCTTGCTCGTCTCTGCCAAACAATCAAACACAAAGTCGACAAAATAAATATTGTTAACGACACGTGTGGTCATTAAACATGATCTTCTGTACTTTCAGCTGTGATGACAAGATTGTTACACGGCTAGTACACGACTTTTACACAAAGTATTTGCAATTACACAGGGAATAATTACTATGGAAACGATGTCCGTGTGAAGATGGAAGAGATAAGGGATACGCCGGAGAGGGAGGCTTACATTTTAATGGACAGGGTTCACCCCCCACCCCAGGTTGGGACAACTAGTCCTAGCAGAATGGTGTCCTGATAGATAGTAGAGGTGTCCTGATGTTTAGTGTCCTAATAGTAGAAGTGTCCTATTAATAAAAAGAGGTGTCCTGATAGTAAAGGATAAAAAGAGGTTTCCTGTTAGTGTCCTAATAGTAGAGGTGTCCTATTAATAAAAAGAGTTGTCCTGATATTTAGTGTCATAATAGTAGAAGTGTCCTATTAATAAAAAGAGGTGTCCTGATATTTAGTGTCATAATAGTAGAAGTGTCCTATTAATAAAAAGGTGTCCTGATAATTAGTGTCCTAATAGTAGAAGTGTCCTGATAGTGTCCTAGTAAAATATTGTGTACGTTGATTATGCATAGAAGTTATGTATTATGAAACCGTGCTCTTTCAGATGGGTCTGATTCTGAGACCACATCCACGTGTTTTGGAACTGGAACGAGAACCTGTGATCAGCGAACTGGGAATCTACGGAACATATGTTAGGTCAGCCACACCCACACTATCACATACCGCCTTTCAATTATAGTGAATTATCCTCACTTTAGTTGGGGGTATTCATGGAGGTCTCATGTCATTAAACGTCACAGTTTGTGTCTGTGTGTGAAACTGGCAAAGTATCACTTTTCCTTGTTTTTTGGTGTCTTCCTTTTCAATGGGTTCAGGTGGGTCCTTTTCCACCGAAAAATGACTGCACTGTTAGAGGGAAAATGGGTTTTCGTATGAATGCAGTCCCTGGGCACCGCCTCGTACACTGTCTCTTTGTGTTGTAGCTCAGTGCGTGTGGGAAATGTTTGTGTATCAGCGTTGCCATGGACACGGTGTTTTGTGGCTGCTGTGGCTTCCAGTTGGCTCCCAGCTGTCTCTGCCGTGGTTGTGTCTCGGACTCTCTCTAGCCACCCTCCACCCTTGTGTGTGTGTCTTTAACGAGACCGATGTGGGTCTGTTTGTATGTACTACATACGTGTATGTGTAATTATTAATTATTATGCAGTTGCTAAGAGATAACCACACCCTACATGTCACGTTATTCACACGAGCGGTCCCTGCTCATGAATCTCTAACTATATACACCCCTCACTTTAAACCTGTTTTTCTGCAGCTATGTACCTATGTACCTCATACAACATTATATGGTGTTTGTTCCCTTAATATTCCAATAATTATTCCATTTGCCTTTGATGTGGTCGTTTGAAATCTGTACACGTACTTTGACCTTGGTCAGTGATGTCGTGTTTACCGGTCGCTTGAAATAAGGTGGGACTGCCAAAGTTTGATCCAGCAATCTCCCTTATAGGCCCAGGTTCTTTCCAGGACCAATTCAGGACTTTCCAGGACCAATTATTTGGGACTGTCCCGAAATGACTCAGGACTGTCCCAAGATGATTGAGGACTTTCCCAGCTGGTCCAGGAATAATTCAGGACTTCCCCAGTAATATTCTAAGGATACATTCAGGACTGGCAGGGAATATTTTAGGGAATGCCCCACATTCCTCGCATACCTCGTACCACAGAGGTCCCCAGATTACAAAACAACAACATCTCGTGAAACTCTATAAGAAGTGTGGGCAGCAGCATTGTCTGAAATTACCACCTTGTTATGCCCTCACAGTGTTCAGTTAGATGTATGGGGCTATGATTAGTGTAATGGTAGCATTGATTTGCAGCTTCCTACCACTCAATCAAAGCCCACCACATCACTGTTCAGTTTGAAGGGAGGCCACAGCCTCACGACATCGAGAGGGTTAAGAGCAAATCTATGCTCATGAAGAAGGTGTATGTCCATTGCAAACAGTTCCCATAGTAACGAGGACACAGTCACAAGGAACGATTCTACATTTATTATTACAACCCCAGAACATATTATTAGCATGGGGGGTTAGGATTTTTAGCTCCACCCCCAATTTTTGGATGGTCTGATGCTAACAGCATGTTTCTAGCATGTGAACGAGCTACTCTAAGGACACTTTCACATGGAAGGAACATGCTTCTCGACAACTCTGAATTCATCCAAAAAAACATTAATTAGTAGTGCAGGTAGCACCGATTGGTCGTGTGTATCTTTGTGTTCGTGGGTACCATGGTAACAACGTTGCCTTTGCTATACTCTCTCCCCATCTCTTTGATGTAATGCATGCAGCTGTGTTGATGTGCTATATTGTATGTAGAGGACCGTTGGTGTGGAGAGAGAGAGAGAGAGAAATGTGACTGTAGTACAGGTGTTCCAATAACAAACATCTTCATGTCGTCGAAATTCCTCCACAAAGTGATCTTACTATATTATTATAGCACTCTGGATTAATAATTAATGGTTGCTCTATAGCGTGTGTATATGACTGGTGTTATGTAATACTCAGGTGGCTGCCATAGCACTATAGGGCCATAGAACGAACATACATCATATGAACATGAGGTGTCTGTTGTTTCAATGTAGTATTCATCCCCTAAGGGTCCTAAATTGTACAGAGGCAGCTCTTTTGGGTGTGGATGATATGCACTTGCCTTGTGTTCCCACGATTCACACAGCCATAGATCAATGTATTACACAATAGAGCAATGGGTATACACACAGCCCTGTAGTTGATTGTGTTGCGATGGGAAGACAGGTGAGAACACAGGTCTCCGAGCAACTGGTGTGGGTGTGGATGTAGGTGGCCGGCTGCAAGTGACCGCGGCAACCCCTGTTGTCTGAGGTGCCAGGTCCCAGGGGAGAGTGGGAGGCAGCCAGCTGTGGCTCCCTCATCTCTCCCTGGGTAATGAAGTCAGCACCACCCCGCGTTAATAATATATTATCTAGTAATATTATCATCTAGTTACGCACTTGTTTTACACAAACAAATGTACGGTCATTAATTCATGCTATGCGATGCCCATAATAATAGATTATGCACACACACACACACACGGCACGAACCGTACATTTATTCACAGTTTACGATCACCGAAAGTGTATATAATTATTATTGTTTTTTGTCTATTTAACCCCTAGCCTCACCCCCTCTCGTATTATTCCACTGTCCATGATTTATATAAAGTAAGAACAGTAGTTGTCTGAGCAAGTCTTCAGTGATTAGGTTGTCTTTCAAATTATATCACTTTCAGTTTCATAATTAATACTCCCTATACTGGCAGTGTATATAGTTTGTCGCAGTTTTGTGTATTGGGGAAGAATGAACTACCTGATTTATGTAGATGAAATACACACACAGGCAAATTGTGTTCCAGTGTGTAGCTACTTAAGTAAGCCACACCCACTCCGCTGTCTGGTTGGTCTATAGGCAACAACTAAAAATTAACCCTTTCCCCACAGGAGAGGTGAGAAGGTTGTGCTGAACACGGCAGCTGGTCACTGCCTCAGAACCAAGCCGGTGGCAGTGAATGAAGGAGGCATAGGAGTAGGTGCGTCTTACCTGGACTCTCCGTCGCTCGTAGCAACAGAGGATTTCATTAGGAAAATCAAACACTCGATAATCATGTAATTCCAATCATGCATGCTCCCAAACGACCATTCTTTATAGTTTTGAAATTCAATTAACCTCCAATGATAATGTATCAATAATTATACTTGTATCAAACTGAACGTATCAATAATGATACTGGTTATTGCACATCACTTATAAAAGGTATACAACAAAACACACTTGTTAAGAAAATACATGGTTTTTCTCCGGTTGTTGACTAGGAAGACTCGACCAGCTCGATCTTGAATTTTCCAGTGTCTTCGAGATTCTTTATGATGTCAGTCTCTCCTAATGCAACACTTGGTGTGAGGTAGCCTCTGACGGAGGGAGGGAGGGAGGGAGGGAGGGAAGTGAGGAGTGGAGAGAGAGGAGTGAAGAAAGGAGGGAGGGAATGGTTTTTTGGTCACATGAAAGAAGAGGGTTAAAGGTGGCGCGGCAGGAGCAGAAGTGGCAATTGTCCAAACAACACTCACCCTTCAGGCATGGCATCCCTCTCGTACACCATACACAGTGCTGACTGCACCAACATGGCCGACGTCGCCACGTACCCCGGCTCTGGGGGTGGGAGGAGGTCACATGACAGTCATGTGACCATATAAAGTTTGACCTCAGTCACTGACCTACCTGCACCACGTAACTTGACAACCATCTTGGTATCGGGAGCTTTAGATCTGCAAGAGTCACATGACAATGGGGATTTATCATGTGACTGTCACATGGTATATACCTATCAGCCGAGCTGGGACTGTACCCAAATGCTTCAAATGTGACTGTGAACGTCGCTTTCTCCAACTGCATTTGAAGAGGAGAGAGAGAAGAGAGAGAGAGAGAACAAGAGAGGAGAGAGAGAACAAGAGAGGAGAGAGAGAACAAGAGAGGAGAGAGAGAGCAAGAGAGGAGATGTGACTATGTTTATAGTACGGAGTAAAATGACCTACACTTTCTTTGGACGGGCCCTTCCTCGATGCCATGCCGCCACTGAAGAACGCTGGAAACTGCAGTGATGAGCCAACATACACAGACTGTGGACTATGGACATGTACATGACGTGAAATTTAACACTACAGTCCTCACCTCCTAAACTGCAAGCTCATTTCACGGACTCCCTTATATATAAACCTCATGGTCTTCACATTGCTTCCTTGCTATATATGATATATTGCTCAGTGCATAGAGCTAATACATTGTAATGCTGTATTATATATAGTACATTTACCAAATCGCTGTCTAACTCTATAATATCATACCATGAGGAGGAGGGAGAGGCCGTACGGGATGAAAAGGAAGAGGAGGATCATCATGAAGAAGAACGCCATCCCCAGCAGCTGCACCAGGCTCTTCACTCCAAAGAACGTACGCACCTTGAACTTTGCAGAGAGAATTTTGGGAGTAAATTAATTAATGGTTCACGGGGTGGAATATTTTAACTACAACTAACGGTTGCATGGGGGAGGTTCTCACATGTTAGGAGACTCATGAATTTTTCACCACACAAAAACTTTACAACACGTAGAAAATACCATGTGATGTATATATATATGCAGTAGATAATGGGGACTTACTGGGGCAGCACCCTCTACTTCATACCGATACTTCAGACTTCGATAAACCTGAAGATTCGACAACACGGGTAAGATCGAGACACATTTTACATCATCCACCTTCCTCTCTCTCTCTCCTCCCTACCCTCCATCTCTTCTTTCCCTCTCTCTCTCTCTCTCTCTCTCTCTCGTATCTTCCCCTCCATCTCTCCCCACTCTCTATTACACACTCACCACTGCCTTGTCGGCTCCCGGAAAAGGCAAGGCCCATTTCTTCATCACGTCGCTGTAAAACAGCACACCCCTGAAAAGAAGAACAAAAAAACCCATGTTAAAATCTCTAACACCACGCAACACACGGTGCCGGACTTATTTGGCATCTTGTAAAGTGGGAGTGGCAGCGGCTCCTCGGATTTTGTCCGGCGGAGAGCTTGCAGCTGTCGGTGGCTCTTGATGCTGCGGAGGAATGACTCCCACGTGCCAGTGTGGAAACATGTCTGGGAAGGGGAACGGTGCAATCGGACTATGGGACACATTATGGGGCGGCCCGATAATAATTTGGGACAGTACACACACTCCCCTAAGTTATTACACTAGTGTGGAGACATGTCTGAGAGGGAAAAGGTGACATCGGATTATGGGACACACTGTTTAAATCAGGGTGGCCCGATATGAATGTGGGACGAGCACACCAACACACTCCTCAGTTCACTCAACAGTTTGTAGTGCATAAAAGGCCTGGCTTATTGTTCATTTAGGCCTGACTTAGTCATGTGACTGACAATGTAAGAGTAAAACCTATGCTGTCCCACCCTCGATTGTGTTTGGGCAAATGTTTAGTAAAAAAATACGATAAAGTGGGGTTTATGTGAAACGTACGGCTGTGGTGGTGACGTAGCTGTCGAGGTAGGCCAGTTCTCCGTGGAACTGTCTCTGGACATAGAGAGCTCCCAGGTCGTTGGGAATGGAGTCAAACCCACAGGCAGAGACGAGGAGGACGCCGGCCTCCCTCGCCGCCTCGGAATACTCCTGTCTCATCTTCTCCATGAACTGCAGGAGGAACCAATACATCAGTACTAGATAAATCTTGCAGATTAGAGCAATAAGTCTCAGTCCTGCCTTCAGTAGTGCATTTTTGGCGGGCAAACAGTGCTTCCCCCTGCCCTTGGTCATTACATCATGGAAAGCCGCTTAATTCAGACGACTTGGTAGGCTCACTTTGCTCGCCAATTACTGTAGGAGTAAACAGCCAATAAAGACCTCATTAGCATTAGTGAACAAAGTCTTCTGATAGTGTGTATGTGAGTGTCTTACGTAAGGCTCTCCTGTGATGTCGACATAGTGACACTTGGTCTTGATGCAGGCTCTGATCACCGGCTCCCCATACAACTGATACTGTACAGAGGGGAATGTATGGATCATATCGGAACACTCGGTGTCTCTCCTTACAGATAGTACCAATGCATAGACCATAATACAGGGCAAGATCTCTGTCAATGTAAGTGGTTTGTGAGAGAGATGGAGATGCCACCCACCGGACCAACACAGCTGATAAGAACAGTTGCTTTTGAGCACATCTCCTCCAGCGACGCATCGTCTGTCACGTCTGCAGCTATGACGTCAATACCCTCTATCCCAGACGCTACAAAATTAAATGAGAGGAGCCCCTCACACGTGACTGAGAGAATTACATAATCATTCATCACACTCAGTTACAACACGGATACGGGACTCGTGCAACTCTCGCCTCGCTCACCCTCCAGATAAGACTGGACCTTGTCTTCGCTCCTGCCCGCGGCCGCCCAGCGCAGGGAGCGGCGGACCTCGCACTGTACGCGGTACAGTTCTTCGGCCACAAATTTGCCCGTGAACCCCGTAGATCCGAACAGGACCACGTCATACAGCCTCTCCTCCGCCTCTTCACTCATCTCCCACGTCGGCTTCTCTCCTAGATCCTCTTCTCAGCGAGAAAAAACAAGAGCAGCGAGCAGAAAACCTACCTGTTCACTGTGCAGGTTTACTACGCATGCGCAAAACGCACAGTGCGCATCAATAAGAACGCCGATTATGGGCATGCGCAAACTGGATTCCCATCAGATTTCATGGGCTGAAAACACTGACAACCAACCATTGTGTGAAACAGATAATAAATAACTCTAACCACACACCCACAGACAAAGAGAGAGGAAGAGAATCGAACTAGCCGCTCCCACATCTACACGGTCCCCTTCTCCCTGAGTCTGTCTTGAGCAGCGACTGGCCTCCGGGAGTGAGGTAAGGAGACGCCGTCGAGGCCGGCAACCTCCGACCTAAACAGGGGAAAAAAGATAAAGCAACGGAATTTTTGTCATCCGAACACGGGAGTGGTATATAGTTGTGTAGTACGCACTAATCTGAACAAATATCTCTTCGACGTTGGTGGCGTTGAGTGCGCTGGTTTCCATGAAGATGGCGTCCACCTCTTGGGCATATTCAGCTCCTCTCTGTCTGCTGATCTGTGGGAGCAGCCGGGAATCAAAGTAATCATTAATATACATATACGCAACTTCAAAGTAGGGGCAAGTGATTCTATTGCAGTATACTTATATTCAGTACCTGTAATACTGGTCCTCAGTACCTGTAATACTGGTCCAAAGCACCCACACACAGGTGTACAAAGTGTATTCAGTTTTATTATGGCAGATGGCATGATGTGCTGCTTTCATGTTCCGGTCAGCCACCAATGCACACGGTACACGTTTGAGTTGAAAAGAAAACTCGTTTCGTAGCGTGTTACTACTACCTCTCACCCTATTACTTACTAATAATAACACAGCCGCATATACATAGCTGTATGGTTACTTGGCAGGCTAAAAAAATGACACGCGAAGTTGGCCTGGGGAGACATTTCAACAGCCAGACACTTCTCAAAAACAAGAGAGATAATTCTTAGCCAAATTGTTATGGTTTTCTGGAAGATGAGTACAATTATTGTAGGGTGATCTGATGGCTTTTCCATACCTCTCTCTTTTCTTCGAGGTCGCATTTGTTGCCAGCAATGGCAAGGACGATGTTCTGCGGCCCTAGTCTGTGCAGCTCTGTGATCCACTCCTGGAGTACGTCAAACGTCGCCTCACTGGTGATGTCATACACTACAATTGCAGCTGCCGCGTTGCGGTAGTACATCGGCAGTAGCGACCGGTACTAGAGAGGAAACGGTTGGAGTGTAACATTGAGAGTAGTCTACACAGACTTACCCTTTCTTGACCTGCTGTGTCCCATATCTGATACTTAATCGTGTTCCCATCCACTGTCAGTGATTTTGACATAAAGGATGCCCTAAAACAAGCAAGACTTCCTGCAATCAACCTCCTATATACACTTTACTTATAGGTGTCAGCCACTAATTAGTTCTGCATGCGTCTGATGTGTGGTTGTAACGTGTGTGCGTCAATTCACCCGAGGGTTGTTGTGAGGTTGGGGTTGAAAGAGTTGTGGACAAATCTCCCGACCAGACTGCTCTTTCCCACACCGATGTCCTGTTACACAAATGCAACATCATTCCCTCACGCCTACACGATCGCAGTCGACGATCCTACCAACACTCTCGCCTCTCCGAACTTACCCCCAACAAGCAGACTTTCACTTCTCTCACGCTCATCCTCTCCTCTGAGCTTCTGGACCTTTTCTCGCGAAGTTGTGGCTACGCCTCAAAATCGAGGAAAAGCGCGTAGGCGCGTAAAGGCTGGGCAGCGCGTATATACGCAAAAAAAGAGGCGTGGCTCAATCAAGACTGGTACACACACACGACGTACACACACCCGGTACCCGGACCCAGGACATCGACAGTCTTGATTGAGCCACGCCTCGTTTTTTGGTGCTAGCTAGCTAGCTATATAGCTAGCTACTAGAGGATCGAGTGGGTGTGGAAGCTAGGACACGCATGCGCAGAACGAGCGAAGACGCATCGGTCGGTCGCGACGGTCACACGGTCTGCTAAAGCCTAAAGGCAAGTCGAGGCAGCCTCCAGTCCCCTGGAGGAGATCATGACACAGGTGGTGAACACGGCCGAATGGGCCGGTGAAGACTCCACTGAGCTGGACCTGGACGTGCCCGAGAACAGCACGGAGGAGGACGACAAGCTGCGGGAATACTGGGCCAAGAAGGAGCGGCGGCGATCCAGCTTCCTCAAAGACTTCGTGGGAGACTCGCTGGGGCTCAAGGAGAACCAACGGATCTTAATGCACCTCACGAAATTCGGTGAGACTGCTTGCTTTTTGGGTCGACCAGACAGTTTGGATCCAACATAAGTTGCAGCATCCGTAGCTGTGTCTGCGCAACATGCCGCCTGTACTGTCGTCACGCTCCATTGGTTCCATCACCTTATTGTGATGGATTCTCTAGTATCCCCTTCAGCACACGTTTCCTCCTTTCTTTCCTCCCGTGCCCACCACCATGCAGGAGAGAGCACCGTTCTATTCTCGGATGTGGTGATGAAGGTCAATCGACGTGGACGTCTGCAAGAGCGCTGGCTTATGATCACTGGTATAATATACTTGTGTCAGCCTATGTAAAAATGTGTTGCAGTACTTGCAGTGTACTTGGGCAGATTGTGTGTGGGTAAACTGCTAATTGTGGTGGGAATATCTGCACATGCACTTTGTTTCACATACCTATAGTTGTGTGTGCATGTGAATTGGCTGCATTGAAAGAAAGTCTTCACTTTTGTCTTGATACACCCCTTTTACTCCGCAGTTTCCTAGTTAGCAGAGAAGCCCCTATATTACACAAACCTCAAGATCATGCAATGAGGGTAGCCCACACATGCATGCCACCTACAGTGTGAGGGGGATCGGTGCATGAGTTGCCATGCGCACAGCCTTTCCTGTGCTATATAGTGTATATATATGGACAGCACATGTCCCTTTACTATCACATCAATAGCAGCAGGGGTGTATAAGAGTGTGGCACACCCTGCTGTGTAAGCTTTAGGTCTCTCGTGGGTATGCATACAGGTATGGTTGTCAGTCGGCATAATATGGAATTTTGGTAGTAAAGATACGAAATTCTGCATGTTGTGTTGGGAGCGGTGCAGACTAGCTGTGTTTGTATATATTTGTAGCTCCAAAAATGCAAGTGCTCTATTTTTATTATTATCTTCTCTAGAAGGGGGAGTATACAACATTGAGCCTGGCTCCTTGAAAATTCGACGGAGAATCGCCATTGGGAACATCAGTCACATCAGCGTCAGCCTATTGTCGGACAATTTCCTCGTCATCCACGTGCCTCAGGAGTATGACTATCTGTATGCCAGTGGGAGGAAGACAGAGATAGTTGCTGCTCTTCGCCTCTCATACTCGGAAGCCATCGGAGAAGAACTGAGCCTGACTATGCAGAATGTGTAAGTGTACCGTATGAAATGGCTTGAAGCCCTCTAGCTTGTTGTTTAGATGTTTTCATCTTGTGGGCAGGAGTCGTTCAGTTTCCACTATACGGTCTCGCGCGTCGTGTGTCTGGTGTGCAAAAAAGTGGGTGTAGCTGCTGCAGCCGCGTGGAATTCTCGCAATGTTTATTTTGCCTATTTGCGGGAAACGCCACCGGAGTCCTTCGATAGCTCAGTTGGTAGAGCGGTGGACTGTAGTGGGGTGCTGAAATCCATAGGTCGCTGGTTCGAATCCGGCTCGAAGGATAAAATTTTTTTTTTTCCCATTATTTTTGGTGCACTATCATTATTTCCCCATATTCTTTTTCTTTAGCATTGATTACCACATAGACAAATTTCAACAGAGAAGATTAGTGTTTCAAAGAGGAGAAGGTAAGAATCATTAATAATTATTTGTTCAAAACTTCGGGCCTACTCTCATGTTTTCTCTTCATTATTCATCATAGAAGGAGTGTTTACAAAGATGTACGCCAAAAGAACTAAATAGCTCATTATGTTTACTACCCGTCAAAATCTATACAGTGTTGCGCTTTTTAAAGAAAATTTCAAGTGTCAGAAAATGATATAGCAATGTTACACACAAGAGATGAAAGCAAAGAGCAGTCAGTGAGGAGAAATACATACAACCATATAGCATGAAGAGAAAAAGATGGTGCTTGCTAGTGTGGGCATGGCTTGGTTTTTTCCGTGCCAAAGAATTGCACACTTCATCCAGGCCACAGCATACACAACAATGGGGACAATACATTACATAATGGTGACGTCATAGATTTAATTTGGTGTACGTAGGTAAATGGGTGGGATAAATATATACAATATACATCAGATGATCCCTGCATCTCTGAGGTGTTCTGAAATTATAATGTCTGTCACGGACTCAAACACAAACTGAATGTTGTTTGTGTCTGTGGCACACGTGACGTGTGTGTAGACGGTCTTCTTCGCAGGGTTCTGGTTGAGACTGACAAACCGCTCCCTCAGGTAGTTTATGCCGTCCTGGTACGTGTTTCGACCTGAAGGGAACACACAAGCACAACGATGAAAAATAGCAGAAATGTTTTCAAGGCGCATATGTGTGCGAATGGATGGATACCTTGATAGTCAGGGAAGACTTGAGACAAGGGCTTCTCCTTGATCTTTTCTAGGAACAGGTCTTTCTTGTTGAGGAAGAGGATCATGGAAGTCTCCATGAACCACTTGTTGTTGAGGATAGAGTTGAACAGCCGCAGTGCCTCGTCCATCCGGTTCTATAGAGAGAGAGAGAGAGAGGGAGGGAGATAATAGCAATGAAGAGGAGTGTGTTGAGGAGGAGGAGGAGAGGGAGGAGGGGGGGTTATAGAAAGTGTGAATAGAGAGGAAGAGTGTTGAATGAGACCTACCACGACACCGTCTTCCCGAAGCCCCATGTCATATGCCGAGAGAGCCACAAAGAACAAAATGGCCGTCACGTCCTCGAAACAGTGGATCCACTTTTTCCGCTCTGACCTCTGACCTCCAACGTCCACAAGTCTGGACAACAAACAGCAGTAACACACATGTCAAAACGTACCTTGCCACAGCCCTATGGCTGGTATGCTATGAACTATAATTTCATGCACAATGGTCCAATCTATTGGTGCATATCCCTCCAATTATGCCGCTATTAGCCCCCCCCAATATTCGCAGCTGCATTTGGCCAAAGACGGCACAATTAGTGACTTCCCCCTGCCTCAAAAGCCCAATTATACACTCCAAGAGCCATGTTTTTCACTGAAGTTCTTAAAGAGACTCTTGTCTCTTACATCAAACACAGGCCAAAAACTCTCTATACGAGAGAGAGAGAGAGAGAGAGAGAGAGAGAGAGAGACGGAAACAGTGCTATAATGCTAGCACAGTGCACCAACAGAGCTGGTACATAAATCCAGCAGAATGAATAGCATTTCTTGCAGGAGAATGGTAGAGTGTAAAAAGGCCAATTGTCAGTAAACCACAGTAAACTACATTCAAACATGGAGTGCCAATTGTCAGTAAACCACAGTAAACTACACCCTGGTCATAAGCTCACAGTAATAATAGAGAGAGAAAGAGAGAGAGGAGCTGTTTGTGAAACTGTGTTATTGTGTCTGTGGACTTACAGGGGTAGGCTAGCTATACTATCAAAGGAGCAGCATTGTCTTAGTTCAAAGGAAGGAGCAGTCTTTGATTCCATGTGATGTGTGTGCACACCTCCAAAACAGGGAGAGGAGTAGGCCACACAATCATACACTGTCAGGATGTGTGCTCAGCTACTGGGTTGCCTTCCTGGGGTCAGTGCATATTACCCAAACCTTCAGTTCCTCTATCCAAACACCTCAGCAATCAGGACACCTCACAAATCAGGACACCTCACAAATCAGGACACCTCAGCAATCAGGACACCTCACAATCAGGACACCTCACAAATCAGGACACCTCAGCAATCAGGACACCACGAATCAGGACACCACAAAATCAGAAGGTTGTCTTATAATATGCTAGGTGCCCATCAATACACTACCGGCTGTAGGCACACTCTCTCCACACAATCTCTCTGTGTTTGAGAGTGCTGTGGACGAAAGCCACTGACCTGAAGTGAAGTTCTTTGAAATCAAACTCGTACTCCACGATGCCAGTTGATTTGACCCGCGTTCTGAGGATGTCTTGAACTGTGGGGACGTAGCGATGGTTCCCAATCCTCTCGAGGCTGTCCAGGTAGCTGTGAGAGAGGTAAGGAGAGAAGGAGGGAGAGGGTGACAGATTGAAGGGAAGAAGGGGAGAAAGTGGAAGGCAAAGAGGGAAAAACAGACATAAAAGCTCTACTACCTTTTCACTTTCAAAGACGAAGAACAGATGGAGCATACAGTGGCATGAAAGCCACCAGAGCATGTAAGACACACGTGCATGCTAATTGGCCCAAAGCCCCCATCTCCCACTCCCCAAATAAAAGAGTCTGTCCGTGCATTCCATGAAAAGCCAGCAAAGTGCCTCCTCCAAGGATCCTGTTACAGGTTGCTAATTACACAAAGGCTGGGTGCCCCCTGACTGAGGGCAAAGCCTCTACCAATCAACACTTGATTCAGCCAAACAAACTGTACCACATCAATAGATACTCCATCTCAGCCACTCCAATTTTAGCCCATGATATACACAAATGATGGGAACCTTCTCTATAGTGGAGAACTGCTGTAAGAGGACTTGTTTACAAAGACATGGGTGTGTTTGTTTATTTTGCAGAGGCCGACAAGCCAACACATAACAGCAGTCTGTGGACTTCAAGAGGGAGTCTAATAGCACATTACACTGTCTGGTCAGTCAGGCTTCACATAATTGCACACATGAACCCACGACGGACTTGTACGCTGTTTTTTAGTCAACCCCCAGCTATCACAGAGCAGTGGTAGTGAGCGGCAATAGAAGAACTGAACAGGAGAATAACTAGTAGGCGAATGCATGGCATTTTTGGCGAGCGGAAGCGCGCTTACAATTGGGGTCTAATCGTATGAGTCACTCTTGTGTGTGCACAAAACAGTGAGATACATTGCACAGGACCAAGTAGGCCGAAACGACCCGAGCGCAGTAGACAATTCGAGTCGAGTCAAAAACAGTCAGTCGACAGCGCGAATCAGGCATAATCCGGCAATCTGATTGGTCTTGCAGGAATAGGGAACAAGTGGCAATGTAGAAAAATCTCTCGCTGGACTGTGCAGCAATACTCGATAGCTTCGGAGGTGTTGCGTTTTCCCCTGATTCCGCTCGATTCAGGCAGCATTATGAAAATGTTGAAATCCCTTTCGGATAAAAAGAAGCGCGTAATGCTGGAGCATGCGCAGTTGGACGACGTACGGGTACATATATATATATAGAAAAATCGCGCCGTTCGGACCACTAGGTTAGCTCGCTTCTGCTCGCCAATTAAACCCTCGGCTGGCACATGCAGCGAGGGTTACGGTACTTAAAGGGAGAGAGAGGAAGGCTAGTTGAGGCTAGGCTCACTATTTCGCAGAGTCGTTGAGTTGGTATTCGCTGGAGCGTTTGAAGCAGAGTTGAACTCCCGGGTCGGTCCATAATCTCTTCATGGCAGCCAGCAGGCCGGGAGAGAACGGTTCCGTGTCCGCATGTCTTGCCGTGATGCCAAACAGGAGCATGGCGTCGTCCTGTGGGAAGAGAGGAGTGAAGAGGAGGGAAAGAAAGTTGGCAAGGAAGGAAGAGATAAGAGGAGAAAGAGAAAAACAAATACCAAAGGCATGAGCACAGTGCACGACCCTTATTCATAGCCCATCAATTAACATCATGAATACTGTTAACAACTGCAGCGTGCAACGCTACACAGAGGTACACCTGAAATACACAGACCAGACAGAAAACCGATATCTGGGGTCGAATAGCACAGAGAGTGTTCCATACAGACCACAACTGAGGTGCGTATGAATAGCGTTACACTGTTTACTGGTCCGCAGGAGAACCGGGTAGCTTCAAAGGGATGCGAGAGTCGTATCAATTCCGGGCTCGGGACGATGCGGTGTGCCATCAGGCAGGGACGGTGGAAGAGGATCTTAAAAACGGACGGGACACCAGACTATCCGGCAAGAGAGTCGGGAATTCTGTTTTTAAGCCACCCATGACCTGTTTACCCCCCATCCACACTCTACTGTAGCATGCATGGCTCACACACACACACATACAAATATGTGCACAGAGAGGATCCACCCTTAAATATATGCACACACAGAGCAAATGTATGGCGTAAAAGGCTTTCATCGTGTTTATGAGATATCAGCATGTTTGTGAGCGTTTGCGAGTAGTAGCCAGTTTTAAAAGAATTTGAAATATGCAAAGAATGCAGACTTCACAGATAACGGTGTTTTGATGAGGGGGAAGAATTCTGGACTAATAACCCGCCCAGAAGGTTATGTCATCAGTCTCTTGAGAAAAGGACAGGAGAGGAGAGGAAGAGGGAGAGAGGAAAGAATTCGAAGAGAGGATTGAGTGTGGATAGTGAGAGTAGCCACATTTAAAGATTACATCGTTCTTATCTAAATATATCTCGTTGCATCATCGAGAATGTGCTACTGTAAAGCCCTGGTTCCCAGGAAAAGTTGCTGAGACATGCTGTCGGGCCTGGAGTGAGAGGAAGCTACGTATTGCTGATGAAGGTCTGCTGCTGTTAGTGCAACAGGCAGGTGTGTAGGAATACTGTTGTCTACAGGTGTTTCACTCCATCGTTGGTGGGTGACATCGCACACTTGTGTGCCTCATTTCACTCACATGTCCACACATAAAATAGTGATAATATACTGTTGCAGAATACATATTCACTCACATGTAATGTGTGACCTCACACTTAATGTGTGCCCTCACTGCTTGTATGGTCGGCCTGCCTTGTCTAGCAAAACCCTGCCTTTCCTTTCTGTATTGTGAATACTGTAGCTTTAAAATACTAGTATATACACACGTGTACTGGGTGTATAATGGTATAGGCCAAGAGAGACAGAAGCATGTGATGTGGTGGGAGCTCCTTTTGAGAGTATTTTCCGAGTACATTGTCTCGGCTGGCACTGAAATTGAACGTTGTACACGATGTACGGAGTGGCCCTGCCAGCCATACACTCGACAGCTACAGCCATAGAGCAATGGAGTCTGTGGTGTTTGTATGTGAGTGCTCCGTCTTACAGAGTTGGCAGGTAGGTGGGCGCTATTTTCAGGCAATACAAGAGTGTTGTCTGCCTGTCTGTCTGCCTCACTACCCCATCCCTCTCTTCCCATCTCAATCTCATATATACAAACCCCTCAGGGGTAGGGTAAACTCAAATGCATCGTCTTTGTTGAGACTAGGGATTTCTAACATTGCCCCAGGCCACTCCACCCCATTTTCAACATCAGCTATCTTTCTATCATCGGTGGCTGTGTAATAAACAGGTTTCAACAAAGAAGCGGTACTTTTTAGCAACACGTAATATTCTCACAGAGGGTTTAATTTTACCACAAGTGCACAACTGACGTACTTAGGTTTTTTTGATTGCAGCCTTGATTGCAGGGACTTACTCTTCTTGCTGGGCTGGCGAAGTTGATTCCGAGCACGTCCATTCCTTTAATGATGGCGGCCAGACTCTGTATCGTGTTGCTATAGACGACAGGTCGATACTGCTTACACTCCTCCCTAGTGAACCCATTGTCGTGGATGATCCTGTTCAGAGTGAGAGAGAGATATGGGAGGTTGATTTGGGACTTTATACATTTATTTTTCAACTATTATTGGCAGCAAACTCAACTTAGTTTAAAGCTGCAATGTACCAGTACACATGACACACATTTTTAGTGAGCGATCGAATGTGCACCAATGCAAGACTTCATTAGGGTCTTTGAGTATAGAATTACATACACATCTAGAACAGAACTGGTTTCGAATATCTTTAAACAGTGGCATATACAGTGCACTAGTGTACCTGGAACAAATGGTACTGTGGACTAGTGTATATGCCTGCCTATCTTCCTATCTTTTCTCTACTTTGTGCATACAGGTGTTCCTTTACCCTTTCTCCCTATACACATGTGAAATCCCCCCCTCTCTCTCTCTCTCTCTAAAGGTGATATCAATTAAAGACTGTCATATGCACACGTGCTACTCCTGAGGCTGTGCCGAAGAGGTGTTTCTGAGGTACTGCGCTGGAATTCACGGACAGAGTATGGGAGAGAGCTGCAAAGCAGCGTATTCAGTGCTTGTTCTAGTGGGAGTGAAATGATATTCACGACACGAGGCAGCATTCGATGCATGGCCAATAACACGCGTATATATATACCTGTACCTTGCCCTAGGTATGGGTCATAGGTCTTGTGAGTGCGTGTGTGTGAGCAAGCCAGCAAGGAGAAGGAGATAGAAGAGAGAGAGAGAGAGAAGAGCCCGAGAAAGAGAGGAACAAGGAAAAGAGAGATAAGGAACAGAGAGGCGAGAAAGGAATCGCTAAGGAACCAGGTGTGAGAGTTCTACAGCCAACATGTCCACATTCCATTGCAAACCACTGGAATTGCAAGCCTCTCATTATCCCTCCACTGGACATGGGACTGTGTGTAGTGGTCTGGGAGGCTAGCTAATGTCCGCAAAGAGAGCTACAAGTCTGCCACCAATTAGACCGGCAGTATAGCTGGAAGTACACGCATGCTCCGCTCAGTGGATGTGACGGCAGGCTACCTGAGAATGCAAAGAGAGTAGGAGGCACACTTACTTCATTTGCTTCACAAAAGTGCTTTTGCCCGACTCCCCAGCACCTGCAAATACAGAGGAAGAGAGAGAGAGAGATAGTAGTAGGATCATGTATGGTAGATGTAGGTCCTGTAGATGTTATCAAGATATCTTGTACTGCTTCTCCAAACCATTACAGAAACTACAGGGTGGATGTATAAGAGCTTGTTTCTGTGCAGACCTCTGCATACTTGTGGCACCTTCGGAAGGCAGCTGCGCACACCACAGCACATACCCATAAACCACTATCGGACCATAATTGAGCTACGTGTAGGTGATTAGTCAGCCCCTATTTCTATTGCCATCCATTCTTATTCCCCCCCACACACTCCATAATAGTGTACATAGACACGGAGAGGTGGCTGAAGTGTGCAAGTGAGAGGGTATAATCACTGACCAAGATCCTAGTACACAGCGTCTGGGCTGTGTAAACACACAGACCCTGTTCCTTTGACAGTTGGAACCCAACAGGACAACTGCTATGCTCATATTAACACACTACATAGCCTGCTTGTACACACAAATAGGCTGGGTGGTACTGGGTGTGGGGAAACAGTCCTTTGAGCCAGTAAAGAAAAGTGTGTGGGGGGTGTATTACATAGGAGAGAGGGAGGAGGGGGAGAGGGAGGGAGGGGGAGAGAGGGAAAATATGGGGTCCATTGGGTTTCCTACCCACCCCCATCCCCTTCCCGGTTCAGTCTGTAGCAATGCCACAGACTGTTGAACCGAGGTAATGAGCCGTGGAGACCTAATACAGAGGGGCCACCACATGATTAGAAACAAACACAAGCAGAGGGGTGTGGGTAACCCCCTTTGTTAGGAAAGTTTATTGCTAAACACAGCCCCTACTGTATACACTGGGTGTGCTCTCCGTATGGAGCATGTATGTGTACCCATGCACCCACTCATTTCAGTGAAACGAGTGTTAATGTTGAAGGCGCCAGGCGACACTAAGGGAACAATGAGCTCTCAACGACCGAACGCACGACCACTGACTCGAGGCAATTACAACGCCTGGCAAACCACGCACAGAGAGCTCCATACATTGACATGGCAGCACTGTGCAACAGGACACCCTCTTAGAGAAACTATGTATACTTCCCTGATTGCAATAACCTCTCAGGGCATTTAGCAAAAAAGTCAATTTCTCAACTATACAGGAACTGAATGGTTGAAGGAACAAAGAGCTCATGTTCAAACAGGCAGGGATATCAAAGCAGATAATCTACCACCAAAGGCACAATGCACCACCTTATACACAGCTCAGGGCTTATATAGCAATTTCTAGTGAGTATTGATGCCTTCTGAAGGAGCAGCTCAAACACGTGAAGAGCCTCTTTTAGCTCCTGTCTAGCATTGCCTATTACTCCTTGTGCAGAGACCGGGGCTCACAATACATCAAAGACCCCGTCATGTGCATACACTTGTCACAAAACACGCTTTGCGACCTGCACAAGCTGACAACACGCTTCTCGCGAGTGTGACAGACTCTGAGTTTTGTCCCGCGCCACACACACACACACACACACCATCAGGTCGGCGGTGTCTTCATTTACAACTGAAAAATTGCAAGGTCTAGGAAGTTAACTGTCACACTGAAGCTTTACTGAAAGGAAGTTTGCTAAACCTTTGAGGCTGAGTCATACACACACAGGTTAGGAAAGAGAATCCTCTCAGTTCTCCCTCACTCCCACTCTTCCTTCAATATTTGCACAGCGGCAAATGCTTATGCTTCCTTCCAGGGCCCCCTGCTCTTGCAATAACAGCTGGAGAGAGCGTGCGAGGTCCCGTGTACTAGTCTAAACACCCACAACTACACACTCCACTCCTCTAAGCCCCACACAAGGCTCTCAGCTTCCATAAACGGCTCCGCAGACTGCCCCGTGCAACGGCAGGCAGCCCGGCCAGCAAGACGTGCATAGTTGCGGTCCGATTTTACGCTAGCTAGTTAGGAGCTCGCTGGACAATGGTTTGCACAGGTGGACGTGTGAGAGTAACAAGAGGCGAGAGCCTCGGCGGATCCCTCCCTCTTCTCACCGAGTAGCAGTAGCTTTACTTCGCTTCTTCTGTGCGCCATCTCGTACGCCAACTCGTCGTCTATCCGTCTGCTCATCTGCTGCTGAGCTTTCTCCTCTGCGCTCATGACACACCCCATCTTTCCCCTTTCCTCTAGCTCTATCTGCTGTCAACGTATGTACTCTCAGCGGTCACCCAACACTCGAAAATCGCCTCTTTCTTTTCACTTATCACGACCTCTGTCTTGCAATGCGACCACGGCTTATAAACGGTGGGCGTTTCGGGTTTCTTCCGCTAGTGTATGTAACAGGGATGTCTAAATTGAGGCGGTCTCTATCGAGGGGTGGGGCCAGGGAAGCCACTAAAGACACTAGCCTGCAGTATGGTGTTCGCACACCCATAACCTTTAGAATATGGTCACTTCATAAATAGAGCTGTACAATGATGACAATTTAGAACGTAAAAGATTGTATTGAGAGGAATAATTTAGTAACTAGTGGACTGGGCTACAGCTGTTGGTGTGTCTCTTAGCTCCAGTCTTCGAGACGAACCATACGCCAGGAAGACCAAGCAGCCGGCAAACAGAATGGAGGTCTGGAGGAGGAACACTGGTGTCCAATTTCCTCCAGTCGAGTGGAGAATGTAGCCAATCAGTGGCACTGCAAACACTCCTGCAGAATACAGTAAAATGCTCTTTTGTGAACCACTTACAAGAAGTTTTCAAAACGTGGTGGCCAGCAAGCGTGGCATTTTTGCAGCTTCGCAAGACCATTTTTTGCAAACTCTTTAAAGATCATTATGACATACGTTGAATGCTACGTACCGGGAAGGGTACCGAGGGAGTTTGCAACACCGTACAGCGATCCAGAATAGGTAGGTGTTAGGTCAATGGTGTTTGCTGATATTGAGGATGGAGCATAGCCAAAGAAGTAGGAGGAGAGAATGAGAAGGAAGAGCGTGGGGTAGAAATTTTCATCGCCCCTGCCAATCACGCTAATTAACAACAGGCAGACTCCGGGAATGAGAAGACAAATGCAGCTCCCCATCTTTCGGACAAACGTGATATCATACTCTGCATGAAGGAGGAGGGAATTTCATCATCCGATAATCGATAGGGGCCGACTCTTTAATTACTCTGGACAATGAGTTGATTAATGATTACCCCACCAGAAGAAGCCCCCAATGCCATAGCCAGGGAGGGAGCTCCGTTGTATAACCACGCCTACATTATTACATCATAATGACATCGTCGGAAAATTTAAATGGTGCTTACACTGGCAGTTCGATTCGGAAACACTTCATTGAAGAAAGTTGGAGACCAGGAAGGAATTATGTGGGCGTATGAGCATTCGGTCACAAAACCACAGAGATAGGCTCTAATAAATTCCACAACCTGATGTCACATGACACAGACTGGTCACATGATACTCACATGACTGAAGAATGAGAGAGTATCTCCCTCCAGGGAACCTTGCGACAGCTGGCCACAAAGTCAGAGGGACCAACCCGGAGCTTCAGTCTGGAAGTTGGTGATAAGGTGCGCCCATCCAGCAGTCTGTACCTTGTCTTGTTGTGGTGGCGGACTGAGAAGGCTCTAAGACACGCCACCCAGGCGAGGCTGAGGACACTGGCTATCAGGACCAGTACCTTCCAGTGGTACCACCGGATGATCAGAGACCCAAAAATCCCTACGCCCATCGACCTGCAAGACCAAAACCATAATTATCGTATAGCCGGTTTTCCCATTTGGTTAACTAAGTAAACATTCGTCTCACGCACGCATGCACTGGGACCGACGCACAACGTATTTATAGTTGTAATTCACAAAATTCAATGACGGCACAAAATTGACCTATGTATGTTAGGAAGGATACCCGGCAAATGCTCCAGCATGTGCAACTCCAAAAAACTTTGTCTTTGTTTGTTCGGGGACCTTGCTGGCAACCAGACTGGACAGAGCCGGGTAATGCATGCCTTGGGGGGAGAGGGAACAGACTTGATCACAGCAGAGAGAGAGAAGGCCAACTGACCTTGCGCTAGTCCAGTAAGAAAGCGTGCGAGGACCAGCGGCCATATCGAGACCTGTGCGAGGTAGATGCTGCTGAGCGTGGAGAGGCTCCACACGACTCCTGCCACCCACTGGACCACGTCCCCGCCATACCTGTCACTCAGACTCCCTCCCAACACCTGCGTCAGTACGTAGCCCCAGTAGAACGCAGACAACACGATACCCTGCGTCAGAGAAAGATCACACTCGTGCACGGCTTTCGTTTTATATCGGAGACTTACACACTGCCGTTCGTCCCAGCCTAGCTCCACGGACATGGGAACGATGGACACGACGAGGAAGCAGCGGGCGAAATAGAGCGCGGCCAGACCGGTGAACTGCAGGGCGAGCCAGCAGCGGGTCTCCTCAGCATCCCAGTGAGTCACGCTCGACACGATGCCGCACTCTTCTCCTCCACCGCCCACTGCACGATAACCGGCACTCATTTGGCACTAGTCTCGTATTTAAATTAACCATAGTAGAACATCAGTTAGAATTGAACTGTTTCTGGTCTGTGTTTCACACTTCAGAAGCTTTCGCTATTTGGTGCCCGAATATTCTAATTGATGCACACCATGGCCGACTTAGCGGCGGGAGAAGAGGCGTCTCAAGAGAGTATGTGTTCAGAAAAGGATGCTGTTCTGCAGCGACATAAACAGGAGCTGAAGGACTTAAGGGGTGTGTTAAAATTGCTACCAACAAGTGTTCGATACTAAATCTTTTGCAGCTAAAATCCTGTCCATGAAGAAAGCAGTGCCAAAGGGCGACAAGAAGAGAAAGAAGGAGGTGGCGGCAGAGACGGGTCGACTGGAACAAGAGCTGCAGGAGAGGCACGAGCAGGAGCTCCAGTCTGCGGAAACCAACGGTGTGTCTGTTGCAGCTGGACCCAGTGAGAGGGTGGGGGAGTGGGGAGTGGGAGGGAGGGGTAGAGAAGATGAAGAGGGGTGGAAGACAGTCAGCGATGAAGATAAACCGATTAAGAAATCCCGTGCACAGAGAAGAAAGGTGTGTATGTAGTCAACTCCTATCTACCTGCCTCTTATATACACCCAATAGGCAACTTCTGCCTCCACACGTTTACTCTCTCTATCTCTCCGCCTTGTCTTCCAGGAGAAGAAGGCCCAGCAGGAGCTGGAGAGGCAGCGGGCGAGGGAAGAGGAGGAGAGGGAGATGGCCCTGGTCGACAACCCTCGACTGAGGGAGAGGGGGAACCTGGAATCTCTCCTGGGGAGACTCCAACTCTCCATCATTGATATCCCCCCTGATGGGAACTGGTGCGGGCAAAAATCTGCCGTGATTGACTTTCTCTCTCTTGTCCTAAAACGTTTCCTCCCCTCCCTTATATACCTCTCTCTTTCCTCTCTTCCTCTCCATCTTGTCCTCAATACTGTTCCTTATCCCTCATCTCTTACAGTCTGTACACAGCCATCAAAGATCAGCTGCAGAGAAGACTCAAAATTGAGGTATATATTATACCAGAGCAATTTTCAGTGGTTGCAAAAAATTTTAGAGCTTAGTTGTTTGTACAATGTACAAAAATTCTTATTTGTTGCTGGGTATATATATATAGAGTTCTGTGGCTCGTCTGAGGTCAGAGTGTGCAGAGTATGTCAGGACTCACTCTGACGACTTTCTCCCATTCACAACTGACCCAAAAACTGGCAACCTCTTCACCAGTGGTGAGACATGCAGGCTGCCCTCTCGTGTGTTGAAGCTGCAGTTATTGCTTCCTCTCTAGAGCAATTTGCCCAGTACTGCTCCGATATCGAGAACACAGCTACATGGGGTGGCCAGCTCGAGGTAAGCAAGGATAAACATCTGGGACTGACTGCAGCATTACGATGGGTCTCACAGTTGTTATGCTACTCTTGTGTTTGTTCTCTGTGGGCAGATACGGGCACTGTCACATGTCTATCAGGTGACCGTCACGGTGTACCAGGCAGAGTCTCCACCCATCGTGGTCGGAGAGGAGTACAGCCAATCCCCCGAGTCACTCACTCTCTCGTAAGTCAGCTACTACTGCTGCCTCAGTTAATACCAGGCATGACTCTAAACTAATTGCCATACTTTCCAGTTATGCATTTCTTATTCTTGATCACTACAGCTACCACCACCATGAGTATGGACTGGGAGAACATTATAACTCTTTAGCACCAGTTCTTCCCAGATAGCCTCTTGTCCTGTTCACTATTCTAGAGCGCCGTAATGTTTTTTGGCTAAAACGGTCACTGTGATTATGCGCATGCGCAGTGGTACCGCGGGAAGTTTGGATGCAGCCCCACCCTCTTTTCGCGCGAGAGAAGAAAGTCGTCAGCATGCCGCTACCTCGGAGCCTGCCGCAGTCGGCCAGGAGCGGAGGAGGAGAGAGGCGAGGCACGGCTACACGCGTCCTAGCCGGCCGCTACAAGGTGGAGCAGCGAATGGGCAGCGGCGCGTTCGGCACGGCCTACCTCGTCGCGGACCTGCAGTCGGGAAATGAAAGGTGGCGATCAGATTCAGTAACGTGGCTATTACGCTGTACGTGTGTATATAGGAAGGTACTGAAGCAGATCGAAGTAGGTGACCTGTTGCCTGATGAGACAGTTGGTGCCGTGAAAGAGGCTCAACTCTTGGCAAAAGTAGGAATTTCGTTTCGATGTCGTGATAATGCACGATTGTTTTGTTTGTAGCTGGATCATCCTTCGATAGTGCGGTTCCACGACAGTTTCCTTGAGAAAGACTTGTTCTGTATTGTCACTGAGCTGTGTGAGGTAAGCCAGAGAGAGGAGGAATAGAGAGAGAAAAGAAGATGAGAGAGAGAGAGAGAGTGAAGAAAAGAGAGGCAGAGAGGAAGGGTCTAATATATACAACATGCACACAGGGTGGTGATCTGGACCAGAAGATTAATCAGTGGAGAGAGAGTGGGCGGAGTTTCGAGGAGACTCTGATCACCGATTGGTTCATTCAACTGACGGCTGCCATCATGTACATACACGAGAGGCGGATCCTCCACAGGGACATCAAAACCAGGCAAGTTTTTAAAGATTTTTAACCATCAAATCACAGTGTGCGTGAACAGATACAGAGGGAATTTATTCTCGAAACATCGTTTCGTAAAATGGCACAACCCTTCCTAAAATCTTTAAGAATTCACACACAAGGGTAAAAATATTTCTAGTGAAAATCCATTTCCCCTCTTAACTTTTCAGAAGTGAACCTGCCATAGTGGTAGTTTGTGATCACGTAAATATATATCCCAGGAACATATTCCTGAGGAGGAACCTGATAAAGTTGGGTGATTTCGGAATCTCTCGTCTCCTGCTGGGAACCACGGAGATGGCGAGCACGTTCACGGGGACACCGCACTACATGTCTCCCGAGGCCCTCAAACAGAGCGGCTACGACTCCAAGTCTGATATCTGGTATAATTATCTAACGGGAACAAAGAAAGTTTCCTTATTAGTGAGGTGTCTCCATTTCAGGGGTGTCCTTAGAGTTTTCGTTATTTCCGTGGCTAATATCAGCCACATAAGATCGAAATAATAGGCTACTGATTCAATTTGTTGTCATGCAATAGGCAGGGTGACTGAAAGACTTTCAGAGTTTACAGGAAAGACACTTCTTTTGCTATCAGTTGATTGAGACACTCAAGAATTAGACACCCAAGAGACTATGTGCGATCTGTGCCTCTTCCCCCGTTCCTCCTTTCCCGCAGGTCACTGGGAGTGGTTCTATTTGAGATGTGTACCCTCCACCGCGCCTTCCCGGGCTCCAATCTCATGGCCGTCATGTACAGCATCGTGGAGGGACAGTGCCCCAACCTCCCCGACAAATTCAGCCCTGACCTGAAAAACCTGTGTGACAGGATGCTCGAAAAGGACCCTCGGAAACGACCCTCGGCTCACGCTGTTCTCCAGGAACCCTTTCTTCAGCAACGAATGGCGGTAGGACAACGATTAAATTGCCTACCGTCACATTATTTGTTTATTTGTTTGTTTGTTTGTGTTGGCAAACTAAGAGTCTTCGTGAGAGGATGGCTGTACAGCTAACACCTGAAGTTTCAAAATCATCGTCGTCTTCCTCTTCGTCGCGAGTTGAGGCCAGGGCCATTGCAAACGCACTGTAAGCTTCTCTCTCTCTCACACACTCTGACACTATTTTTGTCACATCCTCAGGACACCAGTAAAGAAAAAGAGCTTGCAAGCTACCCAAGGCACCGATCCCCCACTCACTCCACGGTAAGAGACAAACCAACATTTGTGTGTACCAGCTTGGGCTATGTGGAGGGAAAATAATCATAATGATTATTTTCCCTCCAGACAGCGGCTGGCTCTGAGGAAACAGGAGATGGCGGACCGCGAGGCAGTGGAGAGACGGAGACTGGCGGCCGAGAACTTCTCCGAGGGAAGGAAAGAGATTCAGCGAACACAAGAAGAAACAGGTTTGACCTGCTTTCCCCTCCTCCTCTTTGCCTCACGTCATTGCATAATATTATACCTGACCACCTTTTGATATACAGTAGGTCCAAATGACATAAATACAAAGACTTGCAAGCGGGGCACACTATAGAATGCTACAGTTCCACCGATCAACAAACTACTCCCAATGTTTTAGCAGGCTTTGCTAGTTAGGACAGGGTGTGTCAGTGTCCTGAACGCCTGTTCTAATTCGGTGTCCTACAGGCCAGGGTCGTCCCTCCCTGGGTGGCCGAACACCCAGATGTGTTCAGTGATCCAAACTTCTCTCTAACTCAACTGGACAGCAAAGACTGCTACCTCACTGGATCTTGGAAACAACAACAACAACAACAACAGGAAGACCAAAGGGAGACAAAACATCAAGATCTACAAGAAGAACAGCAACAAAAAGAAGAGCAACAAAGGGAAACGCAAGAAATGGAGAAGGAACAAAATCGAAAAGAAGCAGAAAGCGAGGAAGAGGGAGAGAGAACGTGGGACAGCGATGGAGCAGAAATCCCAGACGACCCGTCTCTAGCAGAGTCACACTACTCTCAGGTAATACTGCCACCCATCAGGCATGCAAGTTCATCACATGATTGTCACGTGACCACACAGTTTGAAGATGACTTTGAGGAGCTCTCAAGCTCAGAGGTAAGAAAATCTCTACTGAACTCAAAGACCTTGACATACCAGGCCTCCAGGTGGAGCCTTCTCAATAAAGTACACTTCCCTATTGTTTCAATCTGATACAAATAAGTGAAAAGGGGGGGCAAAGAACAAATCCTCATGTTCATCACATACCCTGTTTTCAGGAGGAGTATGAGGCACTGATGGAGTGTATTGAGGACGCTCTGGATCTCCCTAATCACCCAGGTGAGCCTTTGGCGAGTCATCAGAGTCCCATTCCCATTCCTCGTTCCTCCATTCCCCAGTTCCAGAGTCACCTCCTCTCTCACCGCGAGATCACGACGACCTTTGTCCTTTCTCGTCCTCAGCCAGGGAGAAGAAGATTGAACTTCTCAGATTGTATCCATGACAACCGTAAAAAACATGGAGAGAGATGTGTCCTCATTTCAAAGAAGGGCCCACTATGATAGTGTTGTTGACCTTTAACCCCATGTATTCCAGACAATGCATAGCCATATATGGAGAGGAGTTGTTTGGGCGTATCCACGGTCACCTGAAGGAGGCGCGGTCTCGTTCTGTGCCCCATGAGGACGAGGCAGGAGTGGTGGCAGGACTGAGGGCCCTGACAACTAACACAAGAGACTGTTTCCTAGTTGACCAACTGGTCTTCCTGGAAAAATAGGTCTAGAACCTGTTTTCCTTCTGACATTATCAAAAATACTCTTCTTTAGTAAAAAAAGTGCAAAAATGTTGGCGTGAAAATGGGTAATGAACGTGTGCTCAGACCAATGTAATTTTGGTGCGTAAAAAATAAAAAATATGTCACGCTGTAGTTCACATTGTAGTTTCAGGTTCTACCAGTGGTCCAGTTCGTTGTCTTGTTGCTGTCCTCCCAAAGCACCTTCGCTGTAGACATTGTTGGTGAGTTGTTGATACGAAGACTCCACGTACGACAGTCTCCGCTGGATACTGGTTCCATTCTGCTGCCTTCGGCCGCGTCTCCGTTCCATTCCAGGAGCCGGGGTCAGAGTCCAAGTCGGTCATGGTCCGGTTCAGCTGTGCCAGGTACCCCTCCATCGTCCCTTCTGCTGCCACGCCCCCTTCCAGATCTCGTTTAGTGATGTTTCCCCTCAACCCCCTCTCATGCCTGTCCCTCCTCCCTCCCCTCTCATCTCGCTGGAGACTCCCCCCGAAACCCGCCTCCTCCACAATCCTCTGCCGCCCGATCACACCCTTGCCACGCCCACCTGCCACACCCACCGCAGTGGGCGTGGTCTCTGCACCCTGTGACGACAGCTGGGGTGTGTTTGCAGGGATCATGGGTGCACTCTGTGTGACTTCGAAGGAATCTCGATATTGTTCGTAGTCGATGGCCTGGGAAGGTGGGATGGGCGGGGAGGAGTCTCCGCCCTTTGAGCGAGAGCCAGCTGCGTCTCGCGGAATGGTCTGGGCGGGGTACCCGGGGTTCGAGGGCGGAGAATGCGGGGAGTTCACCCTCGTCATTTTCTTCACCCCCGACTTTCTCTCCCCTGCTCCAATGTCTCCCTGTTCAGCATGACTCTGCCGCTGGTTACGTGTGTGGGCGGAGGGAGGTTTGTGAGGGTGGTGAGGGGTGTGGCTTGCTGTGGGGAGGGGGTGAGGAGTAGACGAGAGAATGTCGTCGATGTTGGTGCTCTTCATCTCTGGAGCGAAGGGGGAAGTGGGAGGAGACGATACGGCTCTCAGGATCATCTGATCAATGTCCTCATTGGCCACCACTGGAGACAACGCCCCCGGCGCCGTATTCCTCATTCTGACCCCGTTCCACGTCGATTCCTGTCCTGGTTCCACACCGTCCTCGGTATCGGACAGAAGATCGTCAATGTTGGTGAATTCTATGTCTTCGTCTGACTCGTCGTGGTGCTCCGGTTCCTGAGACCCAAACTCCTCGGAATGGACTGCGGACTCTCCAAGTCCCAACCCCACAGTTAGCCTTATGACGATAATGGAGACGTCATTCCTGGAGCCACACCCCACGGCCAGGTCTCGGAGGGTCCTGGCAGCGGAGCCGGGGGTCTGGTGGGGTTGCGACACCACCTGGAGTGCCGTCTCTCGTGACACGTGCTGCCACAGACTGTCGGTGCCGATGATGATGTAATCGTCTCCGGGGGTGAGAGGGAGGGAGAAGGTTGAGGGGGCAGGTATTATCTCTGGGCCCAAGTGGTAGCAGCCAACAAGACGGGTGGTGCCACAAACTCCGTTCACCCTATAGTCCTAGCAGATAGGAGACACGGAAATTTTACAGTGGAACTCCTCTCTAAGGACACCCCTGAAGTTAGGACACAGCTAAAACCAACTGTTCTATCCCCAAGGACAGTTGATTGTGCGTGCAACTGAACCACTCATCAAACATCTGGACACTTCACTAATACTCTCTCCTCTGATCCATTCGTGTGTGAATTAGAGAGGTTCCACTGTATAATGTGGTATGTATTACCTGTGATATGAAACCGCCTGCCTCTTTAACCCTCTGTCTCTCCTCTTTGTTTGTTGCCGGGGAGTGGGCTGTTGCCAAGGAAACGGCGTGACCTCTGCGACACAATATGGCTTCACCAAGCCCTATGCAACACAATAACATGAACAAATCTACAACAAAAATTTAACTACATATGTATATACATACCTGCATTGGCGACGTTCAGAACCAATTTCTTGGAACGGAGCATATGTAGGTGGCACAGTATCATAGAACAGCCATATGAACACCCTACTTCTCCCAGCATCCTACAAACAACAACAACAACAACAACAACAAACACCACGGATACTTTCCAATTTCAGCATGCTCCCCTCACTGGTGAGCTGTCAGGTAGGTGTGTGTTAGGTATCTGAGGGACTCTGGGGGTGTGGTCTCTTCCTCCAGGCTCCGCCCACTGGTCAGCGAACTCCCTCAGCATGACGTCGGCTAATTTGCTCTGGATAATTGCAGGGGCAGCTGTGGATCTCCCCCCGTTGAGGATGGCAAAGAGTGCGTCTCTGCCGGCCGAGAGGGATGGGGATTTGACCTGCATGGTGCAGTCCAGTCCACCACTCACCCCTGTGCAGATGACACAACAAACATATTATTGTCAAATGGCTTGGAGGTGACAGACTATTTTTGACTTTATGCTGTTTGTAGAAGAAGAAGAAGCAATTTTTAAATAAAACCGTTTCGTGGTACAGAGTACATGAGTATCAATCTACGTTCTCTACAATTTTCAGTATGGGAGTATGTGGAACTAAACTGTGAAAACATTTGGAACAAAAAGTTTCTGAGACTGATTTTGGGCCTCACCGGGAGACTGGGCAGAGCCAAAACTCCAGAGGTTGTGGGGCGGAGCCACGCTGCATTCCACCTGTGACATCATCCTGGCATCGCTATGGATACCAAGTCCTCCCTCCAGTACACACCTGGTCAGTGATCTGAGCAAGAGTGAACAATCACTGAAAATTTTTTTCCACTGACAGTATAATATACTTGGTTTTGTTGGGTTTGTGAAATTAGCTACACATGAACATTTGACTCCTCATGGTAGATGTGATGCAGTTGCTTACTTGATCTGAGGGACGTCGCTTTCTTTGATCTTTAGCTCGGTGTTATCAGACAGATCCAAGTACCTCAGTTGGGAGAACCGCCCCAGCTGGTGATAAGAGTTCATTCATCACAAGCCAGAGGCAAGACTAACACAAACGCAGAGACAACAGATGTAGCAAACAGAAGAAAGAGCTGCACTGGGGTGTGGGGATACCAGAGGCCAACCAACTACAGCTGGAGGAGCGATTGCAGAAAAAGTGGGCAAAATTTCTCGTACTTTTTACCAGGAAGGTGAGACGAAAGACAGGACAACTAACTATATACTTCGACTACATATAACTGGAGTATGCAGTCCTCAGTAGTTAACCCTCGGCGCGCATGCGCAGCGAGGGTTAGACTGTAGTTGGGTTTGTCTGTGTGTCTGTCTGTTACTCTCAATCTCACTTCTCGGGTGTTTGTTCGTCTCACAAAGGATACGACCTACTTAACGGGCAATGAAGGTCAGAACTTTCGAACGCTTTCCTCTGAAACTGCTCTGTTGCAAAGCTAGAGCGCTTCCACCGGTAGTCGCCATTTATCGCTTGCGCATGCGCTTATATTTAGCACATGCCGGTATATACCTCGACCGGGTCCGCTTGCTCTGTCTATCTTGAAGGCACAAGAAGTCACAACGAATGGCGTGTATCGACTCTCGCGTGCTATCTATTACTGTAGCTAGCCCGTGTCAGACTCTCTGCGAGCTACTTCGCCGAGGGTTTGCACTTTAGTGCTTTTCATTTACACTGTTCCCATTCAAGTAATGGTGGTGGTCTGATGGATAAGCACCCCCTCTCTTGATCGTGAGGTCCTGGTTCGATCCCGGGGGTGTGCGCCTTTTTTACAATGATGTAATAGGAGTGTTGGTATATATGGAACGTTTTTTCATCACCTCTCCAGGCCAGCCCGAGTGGCTAGGTGGTTAGAGTCGTGGGGACTGACACCATAGGTGCCCGGTTCGTATCCCGATCCCGCACTAAAATGTCAGGTGGTCCAGAGCATTGGCTGGGAACAGCTCTGGTTCCTCCCCTTACCCACAAATCTACCACTGACCCACGTTTCTCAAAGGGCAGCGTACAGTTCGGCATAGCACTACGTCCGTAGACGTCTGTCTGGAGAGATGAAGGGCTGGCCGTTTTTTTCTTTTCAACCTTAGGTTGTTTTTTTTTGCACTAAACAATCCACGGGTAATACGAAAATTAATAGAGAGATGAAAGGTTGGCAATTTTTCAACCTTATATCTTTTTGGGCCTCAAACAGAAATGGGGCTGGCCATTTTTTCAACCTATCGAAAATAATCCATGGAAATAGTGCATAACATGCTGTTGTTCTATGGTCAAGACCATCAATTGTGGTGGTGCCACACTTGTGTATGGGTTCCACATTTCTATATAGTGTGCCGAGGGTTTGCACTTTAGTGCTTTTCATTATTGGTTGTAGTTGATACCTTGGGAAGTTCAGACATTCCATTGTGGGCGAGGTCAAGATTAGCAATCTTCCCGAGAGAGGGTGTGCCATCGGGGAGAGAGGTGAGGAGTGTGGAGTGAAGAGAGAGGGTGTGGAGATGGGGACAGTGGGAGAGGGAAGGGAGGGAGGAGAGGGCGTGGTTCCCAGAGAGGTTGAGGTATTCCAGCTGCTTCAGTGTGACAAACGTGCTGTGATTGGACACACACACACACACACACAGGCAAACAAACAGACAGGAGACGGACAGAAGCAAAATAGACCACGACTGTTTTATTCAGGCTAATTCTCTTACCTTGGAAGAATATTCTCCAGTTTGTTATAAGCCAAATGTAGCACCTTCAGATTCCTACAACTGAAGGTACGTACAAATTACACAACAGACACAAAAAAAACCCGGAAATTTTGAATGTGTTTTTTGCCATTTTGTAGCAAGAGGGGATTTTCATGCAAGAAGCTATCAGGAATGCTGTGAGATAATTTCCACACTTGTGCCTCAAACCACGACAGTCGGGCGAACATGTTTTATTCTTCCTTTGCTGCATTTACCACGAGATAGTGGGAGAGACTCCGTCCCCCAGTAGGTTGTTGGCTGCTAGTAGAGTGGTGAGAGTGGGTCCTGGTCCGTGGGGACTGGACAGTGGTAGAACTGACAGCTGGTTACTGCTCACGTTGAGAGTACAGAGTCTGCAAGAGGGCAGGGGGAGGAGGGGGGAGAGGAGAGAGAAAAATCAGGGAGGGAGAAAGGAGAAGAGGAGGAAAAGATGCAGGCAGAATAAGGAAGAAAAAAGGAGAGAAGAGAGGAAGAAAGAGGGGAGGAAGAGGAAGTGAGGTGGCCATGTTTTGCTGTTGGTTGGCCTACTGTGGAGCTCTCAATATCAGCTGCTGTGGGAGGGAGGTGAGCTGGTTTCCATGGAGATCGATCACCTGGAGGCCACACCCCTCGGGGACGAAGGAGGGGAGAGACGAGAGGCGGTTATCTGACGCAATCAACACCTCCAGCTCTGGCATTGTGAAGATCCTGATATACAGAAGTAGAATAGCGAAGGAGTTTAGTGATGAGCACAAAACCGTTCAAACTATAGCTAATGACGGCAGAAATTCTCATTCGCATCTTAGGTTACATAGTCCAGAAAAACATGCCATAACACTACGTCTAGAATGATGGAGTAGAAGAGAGTGCGCTGTGGATAGGGTGTGTGTGGTGTAGCTGACCCAGAGGGTAGGTGGGCGAGTCTGTTGTGACTGACGTCCAGTTTCTGCAGTGAGCCGACACCGGTCAGAGGCTCTGGCAGGGACTTCAGTTGGTTCCTGCGTGGAAGACACATCTCAAGACTGAGGCTACGATATTGTTCGGGGGCTGTGTACCGTGATAGGTTGATGGATGTGAGCTGGGTACAGTTGGCGGACACAATGAACCTCGATATGCCTGCAGCAGAGTTAATACCACAGCATTCACCTTCTTAACAACACCATTATTAACCCATGAAACACAGTCCCTTCTTTAACCCCAAACGCTCTAATAGGAATATGGCAGTTAAATTATGAAACTGTTATTGAAGAATGGAAACTTACTGCACCGGGCCTTAATGGTTTGCCTGTACTATATACCACATTCCCTTTAACCCTAACTAGCAAACTCACTGTTATTAGAAGCTGTCAGTGTATGCAGACGGGCTCTCATAGAGCGTCAGACTTTTCAGCTTGTTGTCGGAACAGTTCAAGTCTTCGACAAAGGGCAGGAGTTTCATGTCGAGCTCTCGTATGTCGGTCCCTCGCAGGTTGAGACGAGATAGCGCCGGGAGCTCCTGAGTGGAGGAAGGGAGGCGAGATTTCAGTTGGTTCAGACGGTAGTCCAAGTGACGAAGGTTCTCGATCAGAGATATGTCCTCGGGAATGGATCTGTGGGGGCAGGAGGAAAGGAGGGAGTAAATGATGGAGAGACAGAAAGAGTGAGATGGAGGGTAAATGATGGGGTTTAGTCCTAGTATGAGTTGAAAGTCAGGGAAGTGCTGTGTTTTGTTAATAGTGACATGTTTTGTTGTTTTGTTGTGTTTGTGAGTGAGTGACGTACGAGATGTTGTTGCCGGACATGATGAGCGTGGAGAGAGAGGGAACCTCTTTCAGCAGTGGCGGCAACTCGATGAACCTGTTGAAGGCAAGTACGAGGGTGGTGAGTCTGCGGAGGTCCACCAGGCCGCGAGGGAGAGACGTCAGGTGGTTGGAGTGGAGCAGGAGAGTCGTCAGACTGAGAGGGAGCAGGGAGGGGAGGATGAAAGAGCATAGTTTCAGAGAAGAGCAGACAACAGTTACTTATTGTATGATATGTAGAGTTACTCCCATACTTTGTGAGTCTCTGGATTTCCTGAGGGATAACCTTTATCCTGTTGCAAGAGATGTCCAATTCCTGCAGAGAACACCATCCACCATATACACACATATTATTGTGATGACATCATTCCACACCTGACCTGCAGTGTGAATAAGGTACACAGAGACACTGGGAACTGCTCCAGTTGATTGCCCGACAGCGAGAGGGACACCAGGTGACGGAAATACGCCAGGTTGTTTATCCAGCCGATCACCCTCACCTTTGACCCCAGCCGGGATGACACGGTGTGGGAGTAGTTCTCCTGAAGAGCAGGTGTCATGGCAACAGAAACGGGTGTCATGGCAACAGAAACGACAGATGGAGTTGTGTCGGCCCACATACACATACTGAATACTGCCAGATACATATTTGGGGCTCTTAATACCAACTAGAGAAAGGTTTGCAACGGAGAATTTTCGATTGTCACTAAAACATTGGTTTGCAGTCTTTTTTCGTCATTATTGTGAACTTTATCCTCCCTGACCTCTCTGACTGACCTTCATGAAGTTCCTGGAGAGGTTGAGGGCCACGAGGTAGTAGTTGAGAAAGAAGTATTTCGGAACTCTCTGCAGACTGTTTCCCGACAGGTTGGCCTCTAGTGGATGTTTTGAAACTACCTGCAGTGTACAACAGAGGGGAGAGGAGAGGAGAGAGAAAACTATTTGTTAGAGAGAGAAAAGTTGTATTGGCAACCATCATTAAAGTTGGCAAATTTGCTTCGATGAGTCCTATGAAGTATCAGTGCATCTGTGGTCACATTTCAAGCTCAACCACAAAACAGAGAGAAAGGGGTGGGCGGAAAAACTAGTTAGAAAGAGAGAGTCTTTTGCTTGCCTTTGCGGCTCTCTCGAGCCACCTGGACTGCTCCATACGACTGTCAAACGATAGGAGGACCTCTCGTCGCGAGGCGGACACCCTCACACAGTAGTAGCTCTTCTTCGACTTGTGCTCCAGCACTTTTCCCCCCGTGAGGTCCAGAACCAGCGCCGGCTTCCCCTTGGGTCGAGAGGTGGAGAAGATGAACAGCCGAGCTCCGCAGAGGACGCAGAACCTCTTGTTCCAGCCACTCAATCCAGTCATCTCCTTCACTCTCAGTGGACACGCCAGCTGGACTTTGTCCTCTGGTCTCTTGCCTTGTTCATAGCCTGGACGGGAGAGCACACGGTCAGTACAGTGTAGATGCTATGACCACAATACTATAGTGCTCCTATATATGAACCATGGGGCTCATATGCATTGTGCCAGCTGCAGGCAACAGTACTACGGAGCTGCGAAAACAGAACATCTATTTCTGATGAAAATCGTCCCACTTAGCTTCTTGTAAACCTAGTAACCCCACTATGTGGTGTTAGTGGGTTGCAACTGTCCCCTGTCTCTCTTTCTCTTCCCATTCCCTCTCTCCCCCCACCCCCCTCCATCTCCCTGACCTGTCACGAATCTAAAGAGATGACCCAGGTCAGAACTGAGGCCCTCCAGCTGTATCCTCCGCGGGTCAGTGTAGCCAAGACTCCGGAGAAACCCGTTTTGAATCTCGAGGGGTTTCTGGTCAAACCTGATCCACTGGTTTTGGCCAGAGCCGTAGTGGACCACAAGTTCCTTTGCCAGACACCTGAGAGAAAGACAGACTGAGCTGGGGACTCTAATTTTTTTGTTTGAGATTTACTCATGTGCACGAAAAATAATGATTGAAGTAGTCTAGAATTTTGTCGTCACCTGGCAATGATGGTGTCGGCAGTTGTGTCAGTTGTACAGCAGACAGGCTCCGAGTAGGTGGACCCCGGCTGGTACACTCTAGAGAATGTGGAATAGATTGGAGTGAAGAGGAGCTATGGTTTCCCACCTTATGGCTCCCCTGTTTGGCTGTTGGAGGATCCATTCCTCCGTGTCTTCCTCTCCCTCCTCACCTTCCCCGGCGTAGTCATAGAAGTTGGTCACCTGCACAGATGATTACAGTGGAACCCTTCTCTAAGGACACCCCTGAAATGAGGACACCTCTCCAACAAGGACACTTTTCTAACAAGGATCTTTCTTTCCCCAATGAACAGTTTCTTGCATAAAGAGAAAGAGACAAAGACCTCTTTGCCGGGCATTTGAGGTCGAGGTCTGAGAGTAGGGGACCGAGCTCTCATGGAGCCGTGGGGGTCGGCCCCCGGGGGAGAATTCTGGTCCCCCTCCAGACTAACTCCCGAGGACGACGCCTCCAGAGCCCACCACACCGAGGAAGGGGTGTGGCTCCAACTCATCTCCATGGTGACAGTCTCCTAACAGTTTTAGCTGCATGGCAGAAAGAGAGCTAGATCCTGAAAAAGGGGGTGGGGCAGCAGCTGCATCAATGTTTAGTTTTGCAGCTGTTACGGCGAATCGACCAGGTCAACTAAATTACAGTGCAAACGAATTTCACGTACTCTGTCTAGTATCGCACGGGAAAAACAATAAGTTACCTTCTTGCAGAGTCCAACGAGCTAGCTTTCGGAGCTGACACGCCCTTTTTTGCCGGAAAATCTCCGATTCCGAAATCTCCATTCCATGGGATCAGGAGTGGAAATGACGTCACACGTCACGGCGCTCGTGCATGCTGACGTCACATTGTAGCTGTGCGCATGAGCAAACCTAGCCGAGGGGCGGGGTGTTGCGTGCGATCTTCAACACCCCCGGATCTCCCCGCCGGTTTGTCTTTCGGCTGGGAATCTCGTCTAGCGACCAGGCAGGGGTGAAATGTACGTCTGCGAGGAAGAGTCAGGTCCAGAAATCGTCTCCGGCGCGTCCACGTCGGCGGCGGAGGTCGACGATGGTCGGGGACGAAGCGAGCTACCGGCCAGCCCTGGCACCGGTGCCAGAAGCGTCAGGGAGGAGGTGGACGTAGCCATCATTGGTGAGAAGACTATAAAACATGACATGAAACGTTCGTCGCGATGACAATGTGCACGTGGGCTTTACATGCGTAGCTACTGTGGAACCCTGCAGGCACCATTGATTAGGGTAATCCTATATCTGCCCCTACTTCCTCCCTATAGGAAATGGTCCCTCTGCCATTTTTCTCTCCCTCATGCTCTCCGGTTTCACTCCGTGCTACAACGGCTCTCACCCCAACCCCTACCTTGCTGCAAAACTCAGAGGAAGCCCTGATCAACCTCTAATTGACCAGGTATGTGTGCCTGCGTGAGGATTCATCTTTGTCGTTGCAAAGGTTTCTGTCGGAGAATCAGATATGACAGGTCTTCCTGCTCGGCCCAGGGCAAAGAATGTGCCTAGTGTAAAGGCTTTAGCTATTGGGTTACAACATAGCCGATGCTCTTGCCAGATTGAGGACATGTCATGCACATGCAGTAGATAAATTGGCGTTATTAAAATAGTTTTTTCTACAAAGTGCATCACTAATCACTATTTAAGGGTGTAATTATTACTCTACTCACGCTGAGACTGTTCATCAACATTCCTCACCTACAACAGGACCTCCAGTATCTGAGTGAAGGTCTGGAGGGACGCTCGAAAAACCCACTGGCTCTTCTCCTTGACACTCTAATGCAGCCCAATCAGGACGTTGGTGAGCCACACCCACCATCCCTGAGCTGGACCCACGTGCCTCATCGAGCCGTCTCCCACGTCGTGCTCGGCAGGGGGGAGGCCGGAGGGGCGTGGCATCAAATGCAACCGGAGGTCAAATCACTGAGTCCAGGGAAATGGCTCCAACTGCCGATATTTGGATTCGATGACTGGCTAAAAGAGGAGGGGAGGGAGGGAGAGAGTGGCGGTGGTCGTGTCAAGCTGGGTAGTGTTGCAAGGTACTACCAGAGCTACATTGTGAAGATGGGGCTTGCTAGCAACTTCAGAAATAATGCTACCGTCACCCAAGCCCACCTACTCTGCCCCAATTCCAAGAACGAGCGGCGGTCGCAGAGTTGCGAGTCCACGTTTTCGTTTACGTCGGCTGGTAGCAGCGAGCCGGATCGAAACTCCAGTACCAGGTCACCGGACACGGAACCATTCTTCGGACCGTGCCAATCTCCACAGACCACTTCAGTCGACACCGGAGGCCTAGGAAACATTGGCGAAACTCGAGTGGAGGAAGAGGAAGCAGGAGTTTCCAGTAGCGATGAGATTGAAGTCCCGACGGTGTGTGATTCCGATGACACTGGGATATCTTGCTGCACCAAACAGGTGCTCCTCTCGCCCAAGAACTATCGATGGGTGGTGAGGGGAAGAACAATCGATAGGGACGGACAAGAGGGGTGTATCGGCGTGTGTGCAAAGAATATTGTCCTCGCGACTGGGGTAAACCATTCCCCAAATAAACTCGGCGTCCCGGGCGAGGATCGCAATTACGTGCGTCACTCATTCTCTGACATATCACCAGAGGACCACGGGCCCCGAGATACTCGGGTGCTGGTAGTGGGTGCAGGGCTAGCTGCAGCAGATGCTGTTTTACACAATCTCTCGCTGGGACACACAGTGGTGCACGTGTTTCACCAGGACACGGGCGACCAGAGACTCCTCTACCACACTATGGACCCAACCACGTACACAGAGTACGTCACTCTGTTCCAGAAGATGACTGGGAAGCTGAAAGATCCCAGTTACACGCCACTGCCTCAACACAGAGTGGTGGAGTTTGCCGAGAATGGTGTCTGCACAGTGTCCAGTGTAAGAGGCGGAACTAGCAAAACTCTCGAAGTTTCCCTGGCACTCGTTTTGATTGGCGGACAGGCACAGCTCGATTTCTTGCCCGAGTGCATGACACGCCAGCTGGGCCTCGTCCCCGACACACCAATTGATACAAAACACAATCCAATGGACCTTGACCCGTACACATTTGAATCAGAAAATTTCCCCTCTCTGTTTGCTATGGGACCCCTGGCTGGAGACAATTTCGTTCGCTTTGTTCTTGGTGGGGCTCTAGGGATCAGCAAGAAACTCTGTGAAAATATCTAAATCAACTCTAGCTGAATTTTAAAAATGTTTTTTATTCGTGTGTGTGTGTGTGTGTGTAGTTTTGTCTGTGCTTGTTAAACTCGGCAATATTAACAAAATTGGTCATATTTTTGGCGAGGTGAAGGCAACGGTACCGGCCATGGAGCCAGAGGCAATGATAATGTCGTGGTGGGAGAATCTGCATGTGAGAACAGGTGAAGAGTGCACCTCTGGCAGACTAAACACCTCCTCAAGGTCGGGACAGCAAAACTCTTTATGGGGGCTACGGTAGCGGTTGTCAAAGTATATGTCCGGGGGAGTGCAGTAAGGATCGACGGAGAATATCCGCACTCCGTTCTCGTGTGGCGAGGCAAGGACCTGCCCGTCGCCGCTGAAACATATCTCCTTGATGTAGTTTGTGGAATCGTCGGGGGAACCATCGTCAACGTATCTCAGATACTTGTGCTGGCTCTGCTCCGGTGTGATCCAAGGTGCATAGTTCTTTTCTCTGAGATCATAGAGACAAGTGAGTTCTTGTTGGATTTCATTTTCGGACACGTCCATGTGCCTTAGACCAATGAAGTCTCCGCTCGGGTGAAAAGCTGCAGACATTACAATCCGATGTTTCTGCACACCCTGGTCCCCACAGAGAGTGTGCATTGACGGTCTGTTACAAGAGAGGTTCCTTAGTTTTTCATGGACACTCCGGTTTTTCAGGTCCAACAAGAATTCCTTGTAAAGATCTTGAACTTCTAACAAGGCTGATCCGTCGAAATCGCTGATGACCAAACACCGACTGTTTCGAGAGGATACAAACATTTTCGATCCGTCAGGAGACAATCTCATGCGAACTGGATCGGGTAGAGTCTGCAGGAGATTGTCTTGGTTTTCGTCAGAAGAATACCTCCCCATATTTCGGAGGTCCCAGAATCTTACGCCGTCTTGAAATGCGATGCTGAAGAGAAGGCCGCTGGTCGCGTCGTATTCAATGTTTTTTACCCAGTTCTGATGACCTCGGAGGACGCCGAGAGGGCCGCGGAGGTTTCTGGAGTCCCACATGCGAATGGTACAGTCGTCGGAGCACGTTGCGAACTGCGGACCGGCGACGAACGTCACGCAGTTGACGCAGTCGTCGTGCGCGTTTCGGCGACACTGGATCTTCCTGTGGAGGCGGGGATCGTACATCTCGAAGGCGCGACCGGCGAGGACAGCCACCAGGTAAGTATCGTCTGGGGAGAATTCTAGATTGAAGACTGAGCCGAGGGGACTTTCGACTGCGGAGAAACCAGACTCGACCATCACGTGACTGTGGTGTAGCTGCCTGTAGAGCTTGCTGCGCACCTTCCTAGAGAATACGTGCAGATCGACATCACTACATACACTCCAGTTCTCTTGTCTTTCTCTGTGTAGTCGGTAGATACTCATATCTCCCCCACGTGCACCCACCAGCAATTCCCAATTGATGCCTCCCTAATTACGTAAAGGTCATGTGACCTTTGTGTGATAAGGCAAGAGAAAGTTAGCAGGAAAACACCCCCGGCTCAAGCCGCGAAGATTCCCGTCTACTGAAGCTACAAGCGAACGCCAGAATGAAGTGGGAATTCAAGGACAGCCATCCCTTCGGTAAGATCTCGTAGGGCTGCAAGCACGTCTTTGCCGCCAAGCAGAAGTGTGTCGCTGGCTAGGTTTTTTATTTTTATAGTATTTTTTTATTTTTATGACAGCATGTCAAATTGCACTCACACGTGAGCTGTAGTGTTACAGGTTCTCCAGAATGTTTTGAGTGCATCAAAAACTGTCATTAGTCAGTTTTTCTATCATCTTTCTTTCACAGAAGTGAGATGTGCTGAGTCTTCGAAAATCAGAGGAAAGTACCAGGACAGAATCCCGGTGAGTGCCTCTTGTAGTATAGCAGGTCTGTAGGTAGCTAGTATATAGGGAGGTACCACCTAGTAGTGGACCATCCTCTTTCAGTATTGGGGTGTAGCGTCAGATCTTTATCACCCCATTGTTATCACAGTATAATACACATAAAGTGATGTAATAGTATTACGTGTATATTCATCATCCATGTGCAGGTGATCGTTGAGAAAGTCCCAAAGTCTTCGATTCCGGACATTGACAAGAAGAAGTTTCTTGTTCCTGCCGATCTCAGTGGTGAGCTCATCACATGACAGTCACATGTTCTTTAGCTATTAGCAGCACCGCATTACATGTGTGTTCCTAGCACTATAATTATTATGCTAATGACTGTCACCTGGATGATGTAAGACCGGGGTAAATTCTATTTCCTGTATTATGACCTTCTAAATTCCGTCTTTTGGGACTATGTATAATATCGTGCATAATCATGACTAGATGAATGTTTAATTTCTGTTTACTCTCCCCTTATTTTTCTCGTAGTGGCACAGTTCATGTACATCATACGAAGAAGAATCAACTTGCCGAGCGAAAAGGCAATGTTCCTATTTGTCAACAAGATCCTACCTACCACAAGGTTCGACCATACTTATGTACCCTCTACCAAACTGTATGGTGGCAAGTATAATATAGTACATCATAATGGGACGCTAGCTTTTGAGGAAGAAAATTTTGTCGTTCAGTATAATAAATACGACAAAATTGTGTCCACACCCACAAAATATCCCTGCCTCTTTAAAATTAGCTGGTATCCCGGCAAGCTGGCAGAACGCTTCTAGATGTGTATATAGCAGGGTGGCTGTATTTATTGATGGGCTCATACTTCAAAGTTCACAGGGCGGTTAAAAACTTTCATTTTGTATATATACCATTCCTCCTCCATGCAGTGCATCAATGGGCACCATATATGCAGAAAATAAGGACGAGGATGGGTTCTTGTACGTCGCATACAGCGGAGAGAATACATTTGGACAATGATCTCCCTAGCAACAACTGCCACCAGTGACACTGCAATGCAACACATTCCAATACCTTTTAATTATTACACACGTGTCCATGTTATTGTGTCGGCTTGTGTTCGGTGAGCAAAGCTGGAGCCTTTTATTATTGCATCTCATAATATTTTTCTTCGTTCTCTGTATGTAGAGACTTGTGTATATACGTAACAAATATATGGCAGAATTGTAAAGAAAATGTGTGCAGTGTATGTATGTGTGTACAGTTTTGTATGCAGTGAAAGTGAGAGTTACATTCAATTCAAATGTCCGTATACAGGTACGTACAATGGGCTGCGTGTGCACAAGGTGCTAATGTTGGCCCCTCGGTCTGAGATGAAAGTTGGGGGATTGGGGAGCGGTGAGAGGTTTCAGGCTAGGTTGGACGACGGTGCGAGTATAGCGACGGATTGGCTGGGCCTTGTGCACCAGGGCCTGTCTCAGCAGTGCCACTCTCTTTGCCTCTTCGGCCTCTGCGACAGCCTGTCGTTCCCGGTTCTCCTGCTGTTGCTCCTCCTCCTTGCTCTTGCACTCGCGTTCAAACTCCGCCCGCTGCTCGCTGCGTACCTCAGTGTGGAGGATGATGTTTGAGACTTCCGTGATCTGCCGGTTCCCCGTTTTTGCCCTGAACGGAGCCCTGTACAACACCTTTGGGTCCTTTGCTCGAAACTCGGCATTCTCCTTTTCTTTCTGGATCATTTCAAACATCTGAAGAGAAAGAAATAGAAGATGTCACTACAGTATTTTGGGTAAAGAAAACTAACTGTCTCAGTGATTGGGTTGAAAATATGTTCAGTTGTGGAAACTAACCGTTTGTCTCCACTTGTTCTCGTAGTCCAGTCCCCTTGTCCGGGTCCGAAGGTTTGGAGTCTTTGGTTCTGTCATCGGCTGTTGCTGGGCAACTGGAAGACACGGTTCGCCAAACAGCGGCACCGGGTTTGCCCTGAACGGGTCCTTCTGTTTTGACAAAGATGGGAAATTTTCACTTTGCCGTGTTTGTATGAATCTGACAGACCTTCTCCTTCTCCAGGATCATCTGGACAAAAGAGGCTCTGGTTGGTTTGTCCTTGTAGCGCTCCTCGAAACTGAACGGTTCCGGTTCCGTCTTTTTGTGGTCCAACTGCGGCTCAAACTTCCGGCTAAAGTCAGGCACCGGTCGGGCAATGATGATCTGGCATTTCTCCTCCTCCTGTACATGTTAAGACATTTAGATGCTTCTCTCAATTCTTTAACTACACAAACCGTTTCTTCTTCTGTGTTTGGGTGAAGGCTTCTTCGTTTCAGGGAAAACGCCGGGGACTTGGGACACGTTACAAATGGTTCATGTTTCTTTGGCAGACCCTGTTGAGAATTTGACAAACGAAATCACGGCGACCGATCGAAGATAGAGAGAAATGGGTTATTACGTACCAGCACTTTTTCAAACAGTCCCTTTGGGAGCGGTTGTGCTCTGAAAGTGGGCTGGGAGTCAGACTCGTCGCGACTGCCATCGTGCGCCCGAGCCTCTCCTCTCTCCCTGGTGGCCAGTTTGGGGGTGTGTGCCTGTGTGGTCGAGTGGTGCGGTTTGTTTGGTACTCCCATTAGTCCGTGGCCCGTGAAGACCTTTGGGTTGAGTGGGTTCGCCTTGATCGGGTTCCTGGGTGGGATTGGTATTGAGAGAGTGTTTGTGTATTGCTAATGGAACTGTATACATACACACACACCAGGTAGTCGTGTAAATCTGACTAACGGGCAACTTTTGAACACTCAAATTAGCAATCTTGTTTCTTGTTCCACTCTACAAATTTACGTTTCAACCTTTCAGTTGACCCCCATACAAAATTTGCCACCCATAAGTTTCCTAATCTGACTCACTGCCTTATCCTGGCCAGCTCCTCTTCCTCCATCTCGACTGAACTTTTAACATGAGTGGGCCTTCCTCGATTCTTGGTGAGTAGTTTGGGGGTGAAGGGCACTGTCAGGCCACCGCCACCTGGAGGAGCAGCTCGACTACTGCTATTGCTGCTGGTGCTGGTGCTACTCTGCGAGGTCTGCTCCACGGTGACGTACATCGAGCGCTGCGGCTTGCGAGGAGGGACCGAACGGAACCTCTCCGGCGTGCCTGCCTGGAACTTGAAGACGTACTCTGCCGCCGAGACGTGGCCATCTCTCTTCTCATCTCCCTCAGCTGGCTCCTTGGGGAAGCGAGTGGCGAGTCGAAAGTTGAAAGGCTTGACTTCTGTTGCCTTTCGAGGACCTTCAGACTGCATCAGGAAACACAACAGTACATTGATTTTCAGCCAGCAATCACATTTAAACACTTCACTTGTAAACACAAGAAGGTGTAAGCACAAAAAATCTAACCAACTCTAAATGTGATAAGCTTGGTCTAATGTGTAGAGCATGTGTATATAGTGTACCTCTGAAGGTATTGATGTGTTGGCAGTGCGGAGGGTCATGGGGAAGTTGCTGGCATGAGATCCGCTAGACTGAGCCACAGGAGGTCGCGACCCCCCAGCGGCAGCAGAGCGTCTCTTGCGGACACGACTCTCCGTCCTGAACTTGAATCCCACGGACTCTGTCGTCGGTTTCGAGTGCTTCACCATCTTCGCCGGCTTCTTCCCCGAGTCTGCCAGTCGGTGGAACGTCTTGCGGTGTTCTCGTAGCTTCTTCCGTGATTCGGCCTGCATCTTCTCGATCTCCTCTGCCTCCAGTTCGTCCCGCGTTCTCTTTACCTGCCCCTCCTTCTTGGCCAAGTAGCGCCTGGAGCCACAGCATATCATTGTGAGTGAGGATTCACGGAGGGTAGCTGTACATAAGTGCGTACTTACTTCATGTGCTCTGGGGTTTTAGCAGGGACCGAACGTTCAGTGGTTGGTTTCAGGATCTTCTTGATGGCAGCTATAGCTTTCTTAGAGGAGCCTCTTTGCACCCTGCAGAGTAAAAGAAAACGAGTTAGCCACCTCTTGGTTTTGGAATCTTCGAAAAAGGTAGACTTGTGGCCCACTCCTATTCTTATTCCCTACACTCTCTCTCCCACACTGTAAGGTACGTACCTCTGTTGCTTTATGACTGGAGTCTGTAGGGAGAGAATGCTGGCTGCGCTTCTCTTCTGCCCCAGCCTCGTCGGAGGCTGCGTCTCACCCGCAGCGTTTCCCTCTCCACTCTCTCCCTTGACAGAGACGTGGGGAGGAGCAGGACCTGCCGAGTCTGTCTGAGATGGCGGCAAAACCTCGCCCTCTCTCTCTGGCTCCTCCAGTTTCACCACTGCTGCTGGGTCAGAAGTGAAGTTTCCCGAGAAAGCCTGCTGCTGTTTCTCTGCACTGGCAGCCAGTTGTGGGGGGAGTAACAGTAGATCATCCCTCTCTAAATGCGAGTTCACTACAGAGGAAAGGGGATTCATTTTTCAGCTGGTTGTTGCTGAGGTCTTTCTCACTTGAAAACCACTGGTCCACGTCACCTTCTTCCTCCATGCCTGTCCGTATGTCTTCGAAGTCCACAAAAAACGGAGCATCGAACTCGAATTTTGGGTCCAACTCCGTCATGACTGCAGTCAGCACAGCAAAGAGTAAAGGAGAGCTGATGGACAGGGCGGGAAGATTTTGAAAATTCAAATTCCGATCATGCGCATGCGCGCAGTTTACCGTATACTTGGAAATGACCAAATTTAACGAAAGAAATTTCATTGTACAAACCATGCTCCAACCTTCCGAGTCCCCGGCTCGCTCTTCAGAGAGTTTGAGCCTTCCAGAACACAGGGGAGAAGAGAGGAGGAAGACCGAGCGCTCCACCATATGGAAGTGGATAAGTCTGCGGGAGCTGCTGTTTATATTCGTCGCCTGCAGCGTAGGAGCCGCTCTCTTTCAGACTCGAGACGACGTCAGGTGGGTGGAGCTCCAGTACTGTAAGGTATAATTATTATGCCTCCTTTGTCTTTTCAGATTTGTCCATGCGTGGAGTAGGAATCTGGACACATCACTGTATCACAACAGAAAGTTTCCAACAGAAAATGAAAGACTGTGCGTCCACTTTGCTCACTATTACTCTGTTACCTAGACCCCATTCCTGCAGACCTAGACCGATTGTAACTGACCTGGACAGTGACGGAACCACAGGCAACTGAAGCAGCAGTTCACACAGTAACACGGTTGATCTTGTCTTCTCTCTTCCCCAGACCTACTGTACTTCAATCCCGATCACACTCTGGTGAAGGAGACGTTTCCTGACTCCCTCTCACCTCTGGCTCCTGCCCAGCCTCTCTTCTCCAACCCAACACAACAGGTAGAACTCTCTCACACACACACACGCACACTCTCTCTCCTCTCTCCTTCGCTCTATCTCTTCCTTTCCATCTGGCTCTGCAAGACTTAGAAACCACCTCTCTTCAAAGGTGTATGTTTATGTTGCTGCAGGGTGCAGTGAACGTGCGTGAGTTGGGTGACGGTGGTTCACCCATCGCAGTTGCCACTGGATACCTCAAACAGTACAAGTCCATGGTGCAAGTAAGGCAACAGGTAACTTCATACTATGTATGATTAACCCCAAAAAAGAGCTTCAGACCCTTCAGACTATGATTTGCCACAATAAGATTCAGACTGGTCTACCCCAATAAGCTCTGTCTTCCCTCTCTCCCTCTCTCCTTCTTTCTCTCTGTCAGGTGATAGTTGTGCTGATGTCTGACTGGCAGGTACTCTGCCTCAGTCACGAGCTCAAACCGCTCTGGAAGGCCCAACCTCTGGAAAGGGAGAAGGACCGCAACCTAGCAATCAGGTGAAGTCAAATCCGGAGACATTCGGCACCAGGACGAGATTGTCAAATGTTTCCAGGGAGCCGACGGTGCTGGTGTCCCACGTGTCCATTCGTAAGGGAGACACTGGGTGTGTGGTGGTAGGAGGGAGGGTATCGGGGAAACCGGCTCCCCAAGACAGCTTCACCAGGTCAGTCACACTCCATCACACTTTACACCAACTGTAAAGATGATGTGCCTTGTAACAGGCTCTTCAAAATTGAACCTAATCTCGGGAAAAGATATGAGGCAAAATTTCCATTCTACTTCGTCACCGCTGCCGTCCAATTGTAATAGAAAGGACTATATATAGAATGTGTAGCAGTGTATAGGCAAGTGTTTAGTTGTGAGGTGTTGTGTGGGCTTTTTTCGGGCCAGAATGGTAGGATGCGCATGAGACAGGAACAGATGGTGGTGTTGCTACATTAGACTCTACGAAGTTAACATGTTCTTGTTATCTAGTGTACCTTCCCTCAGTTCGACTGTTGATGAAAACTAAAACGGGACAGTTGGCTCGTGAATGGAGACAGTGGGGAGCGTCAGGTGCTAGCACAAGCCTCAGGACTTTCAGCTCAATCCGGATAGGCCTAGGTAAGAATTACAACAAACTGAAGCAAACACTGTAGCATAATATTGCTAAGTATTTTGGTTAGTATCGGCCCAATCTGAGGCTCAAATTCAGAATGTTGGTTCAATACCGTGGTAGCTCGCAACAGAAATCGGCCCTCAAATTTTTTTTTCAAGGTGCCTACTTGTGCATGATTTTGTCCTATTTTCCTAATCTATCTTCTTGAAATAGCATATATCCGAGTTTGTGTCAACTGAAGATCTACATAAAACCAAGCAGATACTCAAAGAGGAGAGCGTTCTGGC